AAAAAGCAGTGGCTTAATCTATGATTTACTTTACTAGAGGGTTACTGTTGAATCAAACCTTTATAGTTTTTATACACAACTCTGTTTTATTCTTTTACTTGTCAACTCGACTTAATGTCATTCTCTCTCCATAAAATAAAATGTTCATTGTTTTACTTTAATTATCGTTTATTTTAAAATTCACAACAGTTACTAGTATAGGCTTTGCTTTTTACCCCGAAATATCCTAAATCCTGGTATTTTTTAAATTGTCTTTATCATCCAAAATATCAGCTATTTTTCCCTAAAAAAGGGAGAATTCCCTAAGAGTGGAAGCACTGCTTCAAAGTACGCTAACCTTATTTATTGAGTCAGAACTCGTATCTGCCATCTAGTGAGTTTATTAGTTCATTAAGGCCAAAACGTTTCAAAAATGACCTCGCCGGTTCCTAAAGATGACGCTAGTTGAATGTTCTTTTCCTTTGTATGGGAGTTGCACCCCCCTGGTTTGAGTATTCTCTGGCTAAAGCAGTGGGCTAAAGTAGGTAATAAAAAATTAAATTATAGTTGATACACGATATGCGTATTAAAAAAAATCGACACTTCTAACAACTTATGTCTTCAGTTTTAAATGTTGAAATTGTTCTAAAATAAAAAAGATCGAAAAGACAGTAAGTTGTGAACCCAGAAAGTGATGTTTTCGTTTGTGACTTTTTTGTCACAAAACCTACAACCAAAGTAATCGTGAATAAAATTAATCACAACGTACTAAGAAAATATTGTACAGACAATGGCGACGACGTCTCGTGTACCTATATCACAAATTTTACGCAATAAAGATGACACCGAAGAAGACGATGAGCCCAAGAAGAAATCTAGGGAAGACTGGAGAAAAGCTAAAGAGTTAGAGGAGGCCAGAAAAGCTGGAACAGCACCAGCCGCTGTTGATGAAACAGGTTTGTCGATTTTGACCTTATCCTATCCATGATTTCAATTATTTGTAAACAAGATAAAATTATCTATAGTGCTAATGTAAACCTATAGGTTATTGCTGACGTCTTCTATCAAAAGGTGTGCAGTATTTTCATGTGACTTCCACTTTATAAGAAATTAGGAATAGTATACGAGTTCTCCCAATAATGCTGAACTTATACTCACACTTAACTCAATGGCACTAATTGGTAGAAATCAACTCTGATATTATGAAGTTGTAAAGGTTATAATCTAAAACACTTCCTCAAAACATGGTATGACTTCCAAAGTAAAAGTGTGAACTAAAATCTTGACTTTGATTTTGTACAATAATAATTAATTATGAAACTTTGTCTTTATAGTTTATATAATTTTTTCACAAAGACTAGATGATTTGTAGTCTCAACTGAAGAGATGTCTCATGCAGATGTCCACTGTATAATAATTCAAAATTCTATACAATGATAATTATGTAAGTTCATTAATCATTAAAAAATACTGCACATTGAAAGATGATCTATTTCGATAGCTATTATACATTAGTATAGTGTTAATTTTTCAATTATACAATCATGTAAAAAAAGAAAAAAGTAGAAATTTTGACAAAATATCAATATTATTTAAAAAAGATGTCACAATATTACTTGTAATTCAAGTTTATCATACAAATATTTCCATTTCTAGGCAAAGACATAAATCCTCATATACCTCAGTATATTGCATCTGCTCCATGGTACTATGGGACTTCGGGACCTACTCTTAAACATCAGCGGCCTCAGGAGGACAGAGAGGGACAATTCACAAAGCTCGATAAATTTTACAATAAAGGAGTTGATGTGGTAAGCTTTTTCAAATTAATAACTTAAAAACAGATCTATGCCATATTTTTTTTTGGCTACTTCAAAAAAAATCATGTTACACAGTAAAAACAGGTAGACAATAAGCACAAGAATATTCTAAAATTGAATCATTACATGTAATAAAACTGTAAAATTAGATGTGCCTTTAATATAAATAATAAAAACAGAAAAGGGGGTAACATAAGACTGTAAGAAAAGATAAACCAGTGGTGATTCTGCTCTAAATTAATTTGTGACTACTAATAAAGCCCACATCTAAAAGTACAGTAACTGGAGTAGAAGTAGATCTCGAGAGGTCTAAAGTATATAAACTCAATAATAACAAAAAAAAAGATGAAATAAATTTGCAATGTGTGTTCTTATTTTTAATGCATTATTTCAGACAAAAGTAGCAACAAAATTCAGGAAAGGGGCATGTGAAAACTGTGGTGCGATGACACACAAGAAGAAGGATTGCTTGGAGAGACCTAGAAAAGTATGTAATGCTATTATCGTTAATACTACTTGAGAATGTTTTGAGAGATCAGAGATTTGTTTGGGCTGAAAGATTTAACATGGTTTTTTAATTTGCTATTATAGGCATTAGCATTGAACCTGTCTTGGCCTTCAACTTTCTTGGACATCATATAAGTTGCAGGGGCAGTGAATCCACTGTCTATTGCTTAATACTCTTTCCATCTACTAATCTGAGATGATGAGTAAACAATTTCAGCCATTTTGAGCCACTGTTACACCTCATAATCTGTTGATAAATATCAACGCACATTAGTAGACATGAGCTCCAGTGACCACTTAGCACCAGGTGGGCTGTGAGATTGTTCCTTAGAAATATCTTAGCCATAAAAAATAATGTTATGACTAATTATTAATAACAGATAGCGTTAATAATGTGTTAGATTCATAATACCGTAATATCTATAATATTTTCAGATAGGTGCAAAATTCACTAATGCAGGAATTGCGGCTGACGAGTTTGCTCAACCTGACTTGAACCTCAGCTATGACGGAAAGAGAGACAGGTGGAATGGATATGATCCAGAGCAGCACAAAGCAATCATTGAAGAGTACCAGAAGGTAGAGGAAGCTAAACGAGAACTAAGAGCAAAGAAATTGGAGATAGGTAATGGTTTGAATAAATTTTGATAAATTAAAGATAAATAAAGACATTTTGACACAATTGATCATAAAATTGTTGCTTACTTAAAATACAAATGTTGTGACATGTCAGAATCCCTGAATGTTCAAAAATAAATGAAATCATACAATATTACAATTAAATTGGAATGTGAGTAAAAAAAAAACATTAACTTATAATAAAAAAAATCTTATAATATTCATCATATATATTTACAGATCCAACAGCTAAAGATGAAGACGATAAGGAGGAGGAAGACGAAGACAAATATGTGGATGAAGTGGACATGCCCGGCACAAAGGTAACATTGCACTAAATTATCATTTCTTTTCTTATATATAGGTGAATCATTCACCAATAAAAAAAAAACGTTGGGGAGAAGAGACTGATAAACATACTTATATACTTTAAAATATATACACATACATATAAACACAGAGCAAATGTACTTGTGGTATGTCTAATGTAGAGGTGTTAGCAACTACACCGTCGAGTCAGTCTATATCCGAGTGACTAATATTTAAGTCTACTGCTAGAGATCCTAGTGGGTCTCAGCCCCTTCACTAATATCAGCGACATTGTCGATCAGGTGGATTCGAAGCAGCGCATCACAGTTCGTAACCTGCGTATCCGGGAGGACACAGCCAAGTACCTGCGGAATCTGGACCCCAATTCCGCCTACTACGACCCCAAGACTCGCTCTATGAGAGACAACCCTACTCCTAACGTACCCGAGTAAGCTTGACTTTTCAATTTTGCCCCCAAGATATGAACTGAGTGTAACATATCACTAAAATCTATAATTAATCTGTATTTAGATATATTTAAATGTACATTGTCTTCTAGATCACAAATAATTTAATCTGATTCATAAAATGGAACGCTCATTCTCATTTAGAGATGTTACGTTGTTTTTAACCGACCAACAAAGAATTGGAGGGTTTCCTTAGACCCCAAACATGCATCCACTTGAGCGTGGCCTCATGTTTTTGTGGTAATCATAACAGTGTCATTTATTGGACCACAATATCTGTTTTAACATATTAAAATTGACAGTTGATATTGACATATTATCTGGTGCAAGATTAAAGTTGAAATATCATTACTGTCTTCAATTGTCATTAATTGGTAAAAAAATTTGGTGGTAATTGGTTTTTGTAAACTAAAAAGTTTTATTTTACTTACATTTTATTTACTTACTTATTAATTACACGATGAATATTCTTTCAACGTGGAAGTCAATCGTGAATATTTGTTGAGTACGTATTTCATTAGAAAAATTGGTACCCGTCTGTGGGATTCGAACATCGTTGCATCGCAAGATACGAATGCACCGGACGTCTTATCCTTTAGGCCACGACGTCTTGCTAATGACGATCATGTAATCACATGAGACAGGAAAGCTTTCCCAGGACTATACAACCAAGGCTTTATGTCTCGAGGGGGGAGTCTTGGGGTTAATGAACGGGTGTGATAACGAGATGAGGATGACGACAGGTCTGAGTACGGCGGCGAGAACAGCGTCCGCGTGTCTGGGGACACGGCGCAGCACGCGGCGGCGCAGCTGTTCGCGTGGGAGGCGCGCGCGCACGGCCTCGACCTGCACCTGCTGGCCGAGCCCACCAAGCTGCAGATGCTGCAGGCGCACTACAAGCGCGACCAGCAGCGATACAAGTCGCAGGTGGGCCTAAAGCAGTGGACCGGACTCTTGGTTCATCTTTTAAAAAATATTAGGTGTTATCGATTAGGTGGTAGGACCTCTTGTGAGTCCGCGCGGGTAGGTACCACCACCCTGCCTATTGCTGCCGTGTAGCAGTAATGCGTTTCGGTTTGAAGGGTGGGGCAGCCGTTGTACCTATACTTGAGACCTTAGTACTTATATCTCAAGGTGGGTGGCGCATTTACGTTGTAGATGTCTATGAGCTCCAGTAACCACTTAACACCAGGTGGGCTGTGAGCTTGTCCACCCATCTAAGCAATAAAAAAATAAAAAACACTTCCGGCCTCACATAATAATTATTTACGAACTAGTTAAGGTACACCCTAATGATTAGGCAATATATAGAACTTATTATTGTCCTATAATATAATTAGTAATTTCATAATCAAGTAAATAATATAATAGTTGATTCATATTTTTTTATACTTATAATATTTTGGCTTCTTCCGCTTGACAGCTTCCGGCGTAATAAACCTTTAATGTTATTTATGTTATATAATTAGATATTATTAAATAATAATTGTACGTAAATAATCAGCAGAATATAGGTAGGAAAAAAGAAAAAAAGAGAGCTTGTTGGTGACCTCCATGAGGGAGGACTGCATTACTGCATATTTTTATCTGTGTGTACTAAAATTATGAATAACATACAATTCAAGAAGTGGCCCATTGCCAGGAAGGCAATCCTCGGGAACATGGGTGACCTAACAAATACTTCTGCATAATATACTCTGACAAGTGCGTCCGACTAAGGAGATACACTTCAAAGGCTAAAATTAAAACCGAATTGCCTTGGTTTCAGGTGAAAGAATCGATTCTGGAAAAGTATGGAGGTGAGGAGCACCTCCAGTCTGTACCCAGGGAGCTGCTGCTGGCCCAGACCGAAGTGTTCACTCGCTACAATAGGGACGGCACGCTCGTCAGCGGGGCAGAGAAGCAACTTGCCAAGTGAGCTATGTCACCGAACGTGTCTGGGATAACTGCTCAGCAGACGGGTCTTTGTTTTTTTTTATTGCCCTTGTAGGCAGACGAGCATACGGCCCACCTGATGGTGAGTGGTTACCGTCGCCCATCGACTCCAGCAATGCCAGGGGTAGAGCCAAGCCGCTGCTTACCGCTTAATACTCTCCACAAGCCTCAATTGAAGAAGGACATGTCATAGCGATCAGAAAACACCGTGGAGGAGAGCTCATTCCATAGCAGGATGGTACGTGGCAAAAAAGACCTCTGGAAATGCACTGTCGATGAACGCAGCGGTTCCAGATAATATGGATGAACTCTGCTCCGATGGCGGGAGGTGCGATGATAAAAAGGACATGAGGGGATCATCTCAAACAATTCCTCAGAGCACTCTCATACAGCAGGAACCAAAGTCCCTCCGCAGACCCAGAGGTTCCAGAGGAGAGGTTGGGGAGCGCGCCCCCGCAGTGTAACATGCTTCGCACCTGAATGGGAATGATTTGCTAAGGGGGCTTGCAATAAGGGATGAGGAGAACAAGACTCTGGAGCGAAAGTTGGGAAGACCTATGCTCAGCAGTGGACGATTGATGATAATAACCACAAACGAGGTGACAAACTCAGAGCCTATATGGCCATAGACACGACAGACAAGTTATCAATACCGCTCGTACGTATCTTGGTATAGCCTGGAGTCGCCCATAGACAACTCGGTGTGGGTCCATTGTGCAAGATACTCATTCCTGTCCTTGTGAACGGTAATTTCAGATCGATAATTCCTAGCTGCTTTTTATTGAGCCGAAACGTGGTGTCAAACTCCGGCATGAGAAGTCCCTAAGCAAATGTCAGACTAAAATTCAGTTTATTTTTTGTAGGAGTAAATATGAAGAGGATGCTCTAATAAACAACCACACCACAGTCTGGGGCTCGTATTGGCGCGACGGCCAGTGGGGCTACAAGTGCTGTCACTCCTTCATAAAGGTAATGAGCGTATCTCTACGCCAGATCCTCCTTCACATTAATAATAATTTGTAATTTTAATTTTAAGTTCCAACACTACTGGTGGTAGGACCTATTGTGAGTCCGCACGGGTAGATACCACTACCCTGCCTATTTCTGCCGTGAAGCAGTAATGCGTTTCAGTTTGAAGGGCGGGGCAGCCGTTGTAACTATACTGAGACCTTAGAACTTAAATCTCAAGGTGGGTGGCGCATTTACATTGTAGATGTCTATGGGCTCCAGTAACCACTTAACATCAGGTGGGCTGTGAGCTCGTCCACCGAAATACGAAATAAATAAAATAAAAAAATAAAAACTGCTCCAGAAGTTACTAGGTGAAGTTCGAACCAATATACAGACATTTAATTTTCGTAACTACAAACTAGCGTTGTTATTGTAAATACAATGTTTTAATTTTATTATCAGATGTCATACTGCGTTGGAGAAGCAGGAAAGACTGTCGTACTGCCCGTGTCGGATGACAAGAAATTGTCGACCAGCACCGATGGAATTAAACAAAAAGAGAAAAAACAAAAAGACCAAGGTAGACATTTTTATTTATTAAGAACATGCTTATAGCCTCTAATTGGTCACTTCAGATGTAGAGGACGTTATCACAAATGAGAATTGCACATTAACCACTTACTGAGGCAAATAAGAAACAAAATTACTAAGTTCGATTTCTTGTGTTGTAGTAAATCTGTAAAGCTTGAATATTTATTGGGGGCCGTAATGAATTGGATACTTTAAGGCTTATTCATGTTCAATGTATGAAAATATCATTTGTAGAAGAAGACAGTTCATCGTCGTCGTCAAGTTCGTCAGAAAGCAGTTCATCCGATTCGGAACAAGATAAGAGATCGAAAACGGAAAAGACAAGTAAAAAGAAAAAAGACAAGAAGAAAATTAAGAAGAAGAAGAGGAAGAACGTTAAGAAAGAGAAGAAAACGGAGGATAAACTGAAAAAGGTAGCGTCATTTTACAGATTACAATATGCAGGTGGTCAGACACTATTCCATTCCTAGTTGTTGTCTTAGGAACAGATAGTTAGATATGTTGGAAGCCCGCGTAGGGTAAAAAAAATCCCTCATTCTGTTCATTTCTACCTCGATACAGAGTTGGCAGGATGGCTCAACTTAATTATCAATGAGATTGTAATTTTTAACTTTTTACTCATGCCTTTTTAAAAAAATCTATTTTTATTTATTACTTTAATCTTAATTTTTCCTGAAAACTGTAATTTTTATGCGATTGTGGTTTGTTCAGATGTCCTTGTGAACGTTTCATAGAAAAAACAGATATAAGTCTAATTTAACATCCTTGTTGAAATAATTAAATAGAATCTAAATTGATGTATCTATAGTGATTGAGTAGTCGCGGCCTGATTTGTCCGCTTCGAACTGTGTGCAGGAGGTTGCCCAAATCGGAATGTCTTAATGAAAACGACAACAGTCAATCCTTTGGAAATATATAAATATATAATCTATAAATTTTTTTGTTCATTACTAGTCATGTTCTGGAGACTGGAATGACTACCATATGAGCAGATCTAGGAAGTTAATATTTATTGTCACAGTACACATATTCGATCGTACAACTAAAGAAATTTTATTAAAACAATTTAACAATTTTATCATGTTAACAATTTAACAAATTAACGATGCGAATGTTTGCGTTTATGAATAGGCTTTGGAAATGGAAGAAAGACAACAGAAACACGCTGAATATCTCCTTTCGATCGACGAGCGGAAACGTGGATATAATAGTATGGTAGAAGTCAAGGAGCCAACAGAGGATGAAATGGAAGCCTACAGAATGAAGAGGAAACGCGATGAAGATCCCATGAGTCAGTTTTTATAAAGAAATGTTAATATCTATGTAAATAAACCACATTGCAAGAAGATATTGTTTTTGTTTTCTAGGCACTATAAGCTACATAAGTTGTCTCGTAATATAAAGGAACCGCTAAACGAGGCTGTACGAATTTGTATCTGTGCATTATTGTCGAAAACCTAAGAACGGAGAGTGTTGCCATGTTGCCAAATTACGGTAACGACTGAGACGTGTAGACTTTTAATTGACTTTATAAAATGACCTAACATTATGTGAAGGGTAACGGAGAGGGTTTTTGTCGGAGTTTCTGCGCAGTCAAATCAGGAATGGGAGAATTCGGCAGGCAGGCGTACCGAAAGGCGTGGTGCGGGTATTTCATAAAACGAACTCACGAAATGATTATGGTCGTGATAATTTGCTGCATACGGATAGCACGAGACCAATCATTTAACGATCTTAGGATGCCTATTTCTAGTAATCGAAATATGTAGTAGTACATGTTAACGATACTAAAATGTAAATTTAAGCGAATTGATAATTAATTATTGTGAGAGATTTATCACTGGCTTCATTTTACTCAATAGGTAGATAATCTCACTACACAATATATGTCTTACATTTCTGTTATAAAATCATAATCATCATCCGATTTTTTTTTATCATTTTGATTAATAGTAAATACTAATCAGTTTTAGAAGAGGCTAGAAGTGGCTATTTACCTTATTTCTTTCATTATATTCAATGACAATCACATTTAAAGACGAAACTCAACCTATCACTCACATATTTTTTTATGTATGTTTGCCAGCGTTATTAAATTATAAAAGAAAAAGTCTCAGTAAATGACCACCATTTTACTGAGATTATATTTCATTTTATTTCGTTTCGTTTCATTTCATTTCGTGCCGTGTTTTATATTAATCAACTTCATTTCATTTTCTAATATGTATAATTTGTCATATAAAAAAGTTTTCATTAAAATTAAAATAAGACTTGACCTAAAGGTTTAAGTTACCAAGTCATAACATCCCTTAAAAAAAATGTTTATTTCACTTCAAAAAGAGTAAATGTCAGTTTTGTCATTCTTCGTTTCCTTTATTTAGTGGGCCGTTCTTAGAGAAAATCTGATTCAACAATAAATAATTCGAAATGATGGCTGAGGATGCAACAGCCGAAGCTACCAGACGTCTCAACGTTAAGAAACAAACGTTGGATGACGCGTACGCGGCGCCGGCGAATTTCTTAGAAATCGACGTTCTTAATCCAGTGACCACTATGGGTGTTGGTAAAAAACGCTACACGGATTACGAAGTTCGTATGAGGGTAAGCGGACCATTATTCGTTAATTAAATTAATAGGAACGGTCGTGATGTGCTCCGAAGGTCTCAGTGTCGGACAGAAACTCACGGACGTTGACCTTTAGCCTATCGTTAGTTGATTAAAGAGAAAAAAATTAGTGAATTGTTTGTTATGTGTGAATAATACATTCTCGAATGTGACTAGCAATAATCGTGTTATCTGTTTTTGACTGCTGCAGTGGGCGTCATTGATATGCGTTTAATGACAAAACATTCATATTGAATTTATGATCTAAAATATAATTGAAGATATCAAGGAAAATGAGATAAAACTTTATCTATTTACAAAAATAATAACGAACAAAACAAAACGAACCTTTTATAAACATTTCATTTGATTGGAAACTTAAATAAAATTCATAGTAGAATTATGAGTAAAGTATTTTTTTCAAATAAAGAGAATTTATAACAAAATATAACTATAAAGTTGCATGACTAATTATGTTAAATTATATGATAATACCAATTTATAGTCTATGATATCATGTAATTGCATTATAAATAAATTTAAAATTAATAAGTAGCTGTATTTTATATTATATAGAATAATAATGTAATGACCAATAATAGTAAAATAATTGATATATTTATGGACCAATTGACATTTGTAGAGCTTTTTTTATATCAGGTAAATCTTCAGTTTTTATGAGTAAACTAGCTGTACCCATCAGCTTCGCTGGGCATTTAAAATTAACATTATTATTTCTCACCCCTACAAACATTCTCATCACGAACGCCCTGGTGTAAGGAGTCCAACACTCATATAAATATTTTATGTACATGTATTTTCTACATGAATACCAAGTTTCAAGTCAATCGGATGCATGGTTCAGTAGTTTTAACGGAACTTCCGTAAAATCCACTAGATTTATAGATTAGTATAGATTAAGTTTGGACTTTTAAATCAAATAAAAAGAGTCACGGAAACTACATTTTCACAATTCTTTTATTGTTTTTAATTATAATAAAAAATATACTTAAAATGTTTCCGGGCTACAGGTATTCTTTTTTATTATTGCGTAGATGAGGGGAAAAGCTCACAGCCCACCTGGTGTTAACTGGAGCCCATAAACATCTACAACGTAAATGCACCACCCACTTTGAGATATAAGTTCTAAGGTCTCAAGTATATTTACAACGGCTGCCCCAAACAAACCGAAACGCATTACTGCTTCACAGCAGAAATAGGCAGGTTGGTGGTACCTACCCGCAAGGACTCACAAGAGGTCTTACCACCAGTAAACATATCTTACCACTAGTTTACACACTTATTTACACCAGTTTACATATCTGTCTCCAGTAGCAACATTATCGAAATGAACTAGAAAATTCCTTTAAATTGAAATGTTACTGTAATAATAATATAATAATATGTAACAATGTTTGTTCACTATTCAAATATTATTAACTATACATGTTCATTTTCCTGCTTCATGTTTATAACTAATATCTACCTTAAACTAATAACAAATAGCACTGTGTAGCAACTGTGCTGGGTTCAAAGTATGCCATATCTATTGACAGAATTCAGACTCACAGAACTGCAGTATAGACACATAGCCTATGGACTCTGATAATTGATTCAGTAATCAGTACAGTCTCTTTGCCCGTCCAAGTTAATTGTGATATAGTTGGAATTTATTGAGCAAAAGATAGTTGTGCTCCAATAGAACCAAATATTGAGATTTAGTAGTTTTTGTTCTAGACCCATGTTACTCATGATTGGCATTCATTCATAAATAATGATATGTTCCAGTGGGAGCTAATTTACAAGACATACATAAATCCAATCAATTAACAGATTAAAAAGATTGATTTCAACCTTGAATATTCGTCACTACTTGCCATTAATCTGTGATGGTATAGTCAACATATATTTATGTGAATACATAAACAACAAGAAAAATACATATTTTAATATTGCGATTATAGAAGACATTTACTTACATCAGAAGTGTCTATTGACTTCAATATACTCTTAAAACCAGTGTAAAAAAGAGTATATATTATAGTTGTATTTAGTATTTGTCGGTTATGCAGTATGCCGCAAATGATAGCAATATCGAGATGTGAGATGTGATTGAAAACTTTGTAAACTCTTGTATAAACAAATTGTATAACATATATTCTATCATTCAAAACTGATCGCAAGGCTGCTTTGTGGAAGAAGCGGCAGGCTACCGAAATCTATTGTTGCTGATAAATATTACAGTATAATTCTTAAAAAAACTATATTAATTGATATCTAATCGTATTTGTGCTTAAGGTTTTCTTGTAATGAATTTTTCTGCCTGATTGTGTGTATTATATGCGGCAGTAAATACCTATAATACAATTTTTTTTTTAAGGGAATTGTAAATGAGGAAGAGTGGGTGAGTAATCGGAGAATATCAACATATGCCATACGCGCGTCGTAATGACATTAGTGACGCAATTTTCCTCTTGGCACCAGCCAGTCGCCTGAGAAGGAAGTTTCCTCGATTGTGACTCAGTCCTTAGGGCTTCCCCTTGCGTACTCGTTGGTTGAACCACGAGTAAGAGATAAGAAAGCGTAGTCTAAACTATCATACTTCACATGATTCTTGTAAGAAGACCACACTTTTCAACTCACGCTGGCTCTAACACAAGGGGTACCTGGTATCATTTAGGGAACGGTCTAGACCGGTTATTGATAGCCTGCCGGCTGAGAGGCCCGATAGTAGTAGCTAAGGGGTAGGGAGAGATATATCTTCGGCGGTGTCGTTATTATTTAGTTAAAAGCAATTGACGAAATCACATAGAAAAAAAAAGTAAAGGCTACAGCTATGTACGTCTGTGATGCTCAAAGTGAAATGGACTATCTGATATTCAACCAATATGCCTCAATAAAAAATCTCGAATGCCTCGTGCCTTGAAAAAAAAAAGCAATAAAAAGTTTTCGTATTTCAGACAAACCTACCCGTTTTCAAAGTGAAAGATTCGAGCGTCAGACGGCGGTATAGCGACTTCGAGTGGCTCAGGAATGAATTGGAGAGGGACAGCAAGGTCAGTATACAATCAATGAGTCAACGAGTCGGTGACGACATGTGACGTGCTTCGAAATACATGCGTGACGTCATTCGATATGTGTTCCAAGAGATACTTAACGCTAAGAGATAGATAACGCGACAGAGATGCCGCGCTACAAACAAGAAGTTAGGAGAGCATGTCTCTTTCTAACGTTTAATACGTCATGATAAGTCACACAATGTACATAAAACGTGTCCAACACATTACCATACTCTGTATATAGGTGTGACGTTTAGTTTGTGAATAGAATTACTAGAATAGATAATTATTGAATAGAATTACTAAATAGGGGACTGTCGCACTGAACGCGAATTTTATAAAATTTTGGATTTATTTATTTGACAGATAGTTGATGAGTAGGTCACCGTCTATTTGATGTTACGTGAATGATCCTATCCGTGTGACATGTAATCTAAATTTCAACTGCCCCACTTTTTAAACCGGAACGTATTCCAATAGGCAGGGCAATGGTACCTATCCGTGCGAGAATAAGTATAAATAGTCAAAAGTATCTTATCTATGTCGTATTATTTCATTCCGAAATGCGGCTGGATTTTCTTAAGAAGACGTTTTGCTTGTAACCGCAGAAAGAATTCTGTTCTATAGATACTTTATTTCTCTGTCATCTACTGCATAATTAAATAACTATAATCTGCCTGTTTCCAAATTAATGCCTATTATCCTGCAATGCAGAATTTATAGAAATCGAAAGAGCACTCGGTGGTGGAAGCGGTCTCACACCGATGCAACAACGTGAGCATGACGGCCTTGAGGCTTGAGGTCACGTGGAAATAATTACACGAAGCTAGTTCTTTGTTACATCATTACTGTCCACTAATCCACAGTACTTTGCGTTTAGTCTCTATATCAAGAGAAGTAAGACACGTTTTTGAACAAAATTGAATATGCAATTATTTCGATATTTCCAGATAGTCGTACCTCCCTTGCCCGGCAAAGCTCTGAAGAGACAGTTGCCGTTCAGAGGCGATGATGGTATATTTGAGGAGGAATTTATAGAGGACCGCAGAAAAGGTATGAAGTTTTAGCAGTTGCAGCGTAATTTATCAATGTTATTAAGTTAATAAAGTCTGCATTAGTCTCTTATAAAGAATGGAAGGCTTTAGAGGAAGAGGGAGAGGTAGACCTAAGAAAAAATGGATGGATTGTTTGAAAGACAATATTTGTAAAAGGGGAGTGAACGAAGAGATGGTATATGATAGAGAAGTATGGAAGGAGAAAACATGTTGCGCCGACCCCAGGTGACTGGACGTCGAAATGTGACTGCATAACGCGTGCCTTCATCCGAGGCCAAAAATGAATTCCAAACTTATCTATATCTTTAGTCAAACAACGAATAGACACAAGTGACGTCACGCGATGATTGCGATTGGTGAACCTGTCAGGAACGTGATCGAAACAACACGTCTAATTAGCTTTAAAGCCCAGCTCGACCGCAGGGTGCTTTTTTTATTGCATAGATGCGTGGACGAGCTCACAGCCCACCTGGTGTTAATTGGTTACCGGAGCCCGTAGACATCTACAACGTAAATGCGCCACCCACCTTGAGATATAAGTTCTAAGGTCTCAGTATAGTTACAACGGCTGCCCCGCCCTTTAAACTGAAACAAATGCATTACTGCTCCACGGCAGAAATAGGCTCCTTTTTTACCATGCTGATAGCCTTGAGAGGCTATTTCAGCGTAACCTTAACTAGTAGGTGAGCTCACGGGGCTCAAACCTGACGACGTTGCTAACACGAAGCCTAGCAAGAGCTGTGCTTCGCAGAATCTACCACCGGCTCCGAAACGCGACCCACTGAGAAGATCTTTCGAGAAACTCAGTGGGCTGTGTCTGAGGGTATAGGCTCCAATCGACGAAGTATTAACCGTGTATTAATCGTTTTGTTTCTGATTCGAGGTCTGGAAGTGTTCATCAACAAGATAGCCGGACACCCGCTGGCGCAGAACGAGCGCTGCCTCCACATGTTCCTGCAGGAGCCCACCATCGACAGGAGCTACGTGCCCGGCAAGATCAGGAACACATAACTGAACACGCCGCGCCGTCACCAGAGCAGAGGCTTTGCAGCAGTCCTCGCGCCCCACCGACATCGGGGAGTCGCACGCTGGTGTGATTCAAGATCGCTATGCAGTACGGAGGTGGACTGGAATCATCATCGGGACTACGGAGCAGCTGTGACGGAGGCTGCGGGTTTTGATCGAAGCTGGTGTGCATGTGAAGTTGGCTAATGTTTTTGGAATGATACGGGCAATGTGATGCTCTGGTACAGCGGTCCTCAAACCTTTTTTTTTTACTTAGTGATAGACTAACGTACTCTTTACAGATTCGCGAAACTCTTGCATACAACATTTTTGTTGGTTGTAATAAACATAGGTACAGGTGAATTGATATTTAGTAAATATCTCTTGTGAGTCCGCACGGGTAGGTACCACCACCCTGTCTATTTCTGCCGTGAAGCAGTAATGCGTTTCGGTTTGAAGGGCGAGGCAGCCGTTGTAACTATACTAAGGTGGGTGGCGCATTTACGTTGTAGATGTCTATGGGCTCCGGCAACCACTTAACACCAGGTGGGCTGTGAGCTCGTCCACCCATCTATGCAATAAAAAAGGGGTTACCTTAAAAAAAAATCGTATTTGTAAATTTTGCGTCACCCTTGAAACTGGGGCTTTGACACACCATTATATCGCGATATTGTGTTTGAGAACCGCTGTTCTAGTAGCATGGGTCATTGCCAGCCACAAAAACAAAGTCGCTTCACAAAATCGACCACCTTCTCCCACCTTGGATGCTCAACTAAACCAATCCACTGAATTAGTTGCCTGTGAATCATACGCTGTGACCTACTTCACATCCGGATCTGAGAATGTAGTTTCTCCACAAACATTTTTTCAAGTTATGATTGTGGAAAAGTGATTGAATGAAACCTGATGTCGTTCAGAGGACTGCTCTAAAGCTAAACTGGATGTTATTGCAAATTTGTTCACGTTAAATTGTTACATTAGATTTTTAAAGAAACAAATCGTCTTTTCGCATTAAAATTGTACAATTTCCTAAAATATTCGAAATTGAGTTAATATGCGGAATCATTTGGTATCATCACCAGTATTTTTCTCATAAATACCGTCAAAAGAGCGTAGTTTAGTTTTAGTTTTTTTTTAGTTTTTTTTTTTACCTATGTTATGACTACTGTTAACAAAATTAATACATAATTTTATCTTACTTTAATAGACAGATAATGTAACTGGTAAAAAATAAAAAGTAAATGTTGCAAAGATGATTAACATTAAAAATATCACATGTTAAACCTGTAAAACACTCTCCTGTAATATTAGTAAGTTTTGAGATTATACAGTTTTAATGCGAGAAGACGAAATATGATAGCGACACAATTTGCAATAAACATTCAAATGAAATAAATAAAAAATTAATAATTAAAAAAAATTCTATACAAGACAAAAGATAAATAGCACAGCATTCCCGAGGAGAGTATAATATATTTTTTAATGAGAATTCCTTTTGAAAGAACGAACTTGTTTACCGCAAGCCGTTGTTTTGAGACGATTTTTGTTTCATAAAATGGCGTTTATAATTGTTTGGGTTACAAATAAGTATTTTATTTACGCACGGCTAAATTTTAAAAATAATCTTTAAATTATTAAAACGGAATTGTTTTTAAGCAATAATTATTCTTATTATTATTATTGGAAGTTTAGTTTAATAATTCAATGCCTATCAATGAATCGATTTCATTAGCGTTTATTAGATTATTGATATAATATTTAATGTTAATCTCATTACTGTAATGTTCTATTTGATGATGTACAGTTAATCTGGGTAATTTTGATTCGATCTGGTAACATTCTTTTGTAATTCAGCAATTCGATTCATTTGAGTTTATTGTTCACGGAGTTACAGGTTTGAGATTTGCCATGTACGTCTTAGGATAATAATAAAAAAATACATTTGTTAATTATTTATTAGAAATAAAATGGAGTTTTGTAACGTTGCTAACATAAAAATACAATATAGTCGAATTATCATGACTATTTTATTTTTGTAATTGAAATTCATGTGCTCTATTTGCTAATTTCCATCAAAATTACACAGAACAACTATAGATTAAGCAATTTATTTGTGTTTTTCATTTTATTGTATGTCAGTTTGATATTATGTGAAAGACAACATTGGAATTAAAAGTTTCATTACATTCGAGGCTTATTTAATTAATAAAATACACGACTTTATTTTGTCATCGCCATGAATTATTCTGCAAAATGACGTGTTCTTCGAAATAACATCAAGGTACAGTCGGCTGCAAAAGTGCACGGAAGAGATTAATTTATCTATATATTAATACGTGAAGGAAAAACTTCGTATCCCTTTTTACGAAAATTGCGCGTACGGAGGAGTATGAAATTTCCCACGCTTATAGAGAATATAGAGGAGTGCAGAATGCTAATATTTTTTTAAATTATGCTTAAAAATACATTAAATCAATGAAAAAAGCATTACATACACTACAATGTATTTGACGCACACACGCATGCATACTATTTATTTATTGTCAAACTTTGTTCTTGACCTCTGTGGTTAAATTGAGAATAGATTAAATATTGTTGGTTTTTATTAATATTTTTCTATAGTGTAGTCTTGGCGAAATTTGTGATTATAGAAGTATAGTAGTCTTTGAAATAGAATCATAATAGTGTACGAACTTATAATTTCAATTAATTATAGTCGAATTTCGACTACCGGGCGACCACTAGTACTAAAAATTGTATAAACATAAAATTAACGCCATCTACACAACAAGGTAGGAACAAAATATCTTAAACAGTAGTTGTGACTAAACTACCCGATCCTACTCTACTACGCGTGTAGTGAACAAAGCCACAATTTACAATCAAACTAGTTCATATTTATTTTTTACAAATTTGAGCTCGCCTGTTCAAAGGAACTAAGTGTCCATGCTATTCGGCTGCCCCTACAAACTTGTACACGCGCGCCATAAAATTACAATTTAAACATTTACTGTGTAGTTTTATCCGAAGAGGCCTCTATAAAATGATTGGGCGACCAATTAGAATTGTATAACCCTAATACAGTGCGTGTAACAGCTATACGAATCAACAGACTTTCCTTGTCTAAACATCGTGAGCAGTTTGGGAAACGTGTGATGAAATAAAAAATCTCACTTTAAAGCCAATAAAAATACCATCCTTTGGTTTTAAATTGAATAACATATAGATTCGTGGCGATGTTTGTTTCTTTAGTAAAGTCGTATCTTCGAAGGAGTGCTCTTGAATTTAATTTAATTTTTTTATTTTATTTTTTATTTATATTTAACACTTAACCTGCCGATCGTTCAGATACATTGACCGGTAATTGTAAAAAATTATCGATTTTATTATTCAATGGTTCACTATTGAAAAAAAATTAGAAATACATAATTTAAAAGAAAATTTTATATATTACAATATGCCTAAGAATTATATAGTACCATTTTACAATACTGTTAGTAGAAGTATTAAAGAAGTCCATTTGATCGGTTCTGGTGTGTTTAATGTTAAAAACGGGTTTGTATATTAATTGTCTCTACAAAACTTGGAATGGTATCTGACACAACTTAACCCTTACATAAATAGGTTAAACTAATCAGGATGATATTAAATTAGTAATGAAATCAGTGTTGTCATTCACAAAAAAGGTTGGTGTTACATTCATTTGAAAAGTCTAGTAATTTATACATATGTAATATATGTTCTCTAGAATCGAAAGTTTTTGTCTTTCGTACTTTTTAATTTAATAATAATTAAAATGTACTATCAATTTAATTAATTTAAAAAGATACTTTGTAAAATATACAACGTATATTAATATTCATATAAAGTGATACATGAATGTATTACGAATTTATTTCTGTGCGAAAGTTGATGTCTTACGATGAGATGATAAATAAATTTTCATGACTGTTAAATTAATTGAAACTTAATTAACCTCATTACTACACATTCGGTTATTTGTAATAATTATCTATCATAATAGGTTTTAATAAATTTGCTATCATGTAATCGAAGTTTTTATTTATGTAGTCCAACAAACTTTAAAAAGAAGTCTGTTCTATTTTGGATTGTAGTATGTTGACGGATTTCTTGGTCATTTGCGAATCTGTATTGAAAGTTCTTTGTTTTTTTCCCTATCTAATCGTATGATCCTAAGGGGCTATTCCAACTTCGCACGGACCGGTAGGTGAGCTCATGGGTTCGACCTGAGAGAATTGCTAACACTAGCCATAGCTAGAGCAGTGCTTCGCTGAATCTAATACCGGATCGGACCCACTGAGAAGATCCGGCGAGAAACTCAATAGGTTCTTTGTTTGTTTGAAAGGTTATACACTGACTATAGTTTCATCAGTTATCAGTTTTATATGTGTGAAATTGCATTCCGAATCATCGGTAAATACAGGGTGGCCCATAAGTTCTTTGATATGAAAAAAAAATTATTAAAATAAAACTAATTACATTATGAATTAAATTTTTATTTACATAAAAAGCTTAAAAAACGGGAATTATTTTTTGAAAATAACATCTCCTAAATGTAATCCGTTGCGATCACGGCACTCTTGCAAACGACGTCTAAAATTGTCGATGACTGCGCGGCACGTCACTGCTGAAATGCTTGTCATTTCTCTGCGGATGTTTTCTTTTAGGGCCTCAATTGACCGCGGGTTTGTGTCGTATACTTTAGCCTTAAGGTAGCCCCACAAAAAAAAATCCATCGGGGTCAGATCTGGACTACGTGGAGGCCAGGAAATGTCTCCTCTCTTAGAGATAACTTTGCCAGGAAAAAGTTGACGGATAACGGGCATAGCAGTGTTAGAGGTGTGAGAAGTGGCCCCATCCTGTTGAAACCACGTCCTGGCATTAAAGCCTGAAAAGTTTTGCAATTCTGGTATGAAAAACTCTTCGATCATAGCCACATATCGCTCCGACGTAACAGTAACTGCGCGCCCTCTGCCATCCTCAAAGAAGTAAGGCCCTAGGATACCATGGGCTGACATAGCGGCCCAAACAGTCACTTTCGGACTATGTAAGGGCTTCTGATGCTTAAGTTTTGGATTGATGGGGCTCCAATAGCGGCAATTTTGTTTACTAACATGCCCGTTAAGATGGAAATGAGCCTCGTCAGAGAACATTATGTTATTGAAGGAAGTAAACCGATTCAACATTTCATTCGCATAATTTTGTCTTTGAATACCGTCAGTTTCCTTTAATTCTTGAACCAACTGAATTTTGTAAGGGTGCATATGTAAATCTTTCTTCAAAATCCGTTGTAACGATGTCCTGGATACGTTTAATGCTCTGGCGCGCTTACGAGTTGACTGTGTCGGATTTTCGCGAATAGACTGTGTCACTGTGTCTATGTTTTGTTCCGTACGTGACGTCCTTGGGCGACCCAACCGCGGTTTATCTAACGTCGAACCGGTCTCCTCGAACTTAGCAACCCAGTTCTTAATCGTTTGAAGAGTTGGAGTGTCGTCAAAGTTGTGTAAACCTTTGTGTTCTCGAAATTTACGCCGCGCAACGGTTGCCGAATTGTCGTTTTTATAAAACTCGCGCACACAAAACGCACGGTCCGCTCCGGTAAAACGCTCCATCGCGACTAAATTCCCAGAAACCGAAGTTACTCCCCCGCTTCCCCTGCACCGCTCACGCGCGCCCTGTTCGTTTTATTCAAATTTTACTTTTCAAAGGACTTATGGGCCACCCTGTACATAACTAATTAAAAGCTCCTGCCATTGTTTGCTTGAATAAAGAAAACTAACATTGATTTCGTATGTGATCCTTCGTGATGGTCAGACAAAACAACAAAAACGAATTAATTACAAGGAAACTTTATTAAAATGTAATAATGTATAGCAATACATGTTTTAACTGTCCTGCTCGAAGCAAGACTTGATGAGGATCTTGCTGGGTTGCGACGCGGCGACCGACTCGCCCTGACGCCACAGCCTCTGTCCTCTGGTCTCTATCTCCTCGTGCCACGCTTCTTGAGTTTTCCTAATCCAGCAATTTTATACTGGCGGTAGGACCTCTACTGTGTCCGCGCGGGTATGTAGCAGTAATACGTTTCGGTTTGAAGGGTGGGGCAGCCCTTGTAACTATACTGAGACCTTAGAACTTAAATCTCAAGGTGGTTACTGGAGCCCATAGACATCTACAACGTAAATGCCGCCACAGATCTTGAGACATGAGTTCTAAAGTCTCAGTTCAGTACAACGGCTGCCTCACCGTTCAAAGCGAAAGGCATTATTACTTCACGTCAGAAATAGGCAGGGTGTACGTAATTACTGACGTCCGGACTCACAAGATGTCCTACCAGTAACCTTTTTTTAACCTATCAAGCGAACAAATGGTTCAATACAACTAAGCGTTCCTCTCACATACAATGTTTGTGAGCAGCGGCTTGCCTATACCTTGGCGATGCTGATGTCCATGACCGATGGCAATTACTTACGATCAAGCGGGTCACAGCATTCTATAGAAATGTACTCTGATTCGTTATAGTTAAATACTGTAACGCCGGTCAGAGTAGCGCCATCTATCGCCTAATAGCAGAAACGAACATCGAAGGTACTATTAAAAATCCAGAAGTACAAAGCTATATATACTTATAACTGTAACTGTTGAGACTTTAGAACTTATGTCTCAAGACGGGTGGCGCATTTACGTTGTAGATGTCTATGGGCTCCAGTATCCACTTAAACACACATCGAAGGTATTCGACTTGCCCAGAATGTTCTCGATATATTTAGAGATGTCGTATCAACTATAAAAGCGTTGCAGAGATGGCACGCAGTCAGTCAGTTATCGAACTACTCGAAGCCAAACAGCGAACGGATCACCTGAAGCGAAGCGGAAGAAGCGAATTGAGAATTTTAAAGTGTTCTTTAAGTGTTTTAAGTGTTGAATACAGTTTTAATTTATACTTCGGTAGAATATTATTTATCCCGAACCCCAGCGCGTAACAATACTAACCTGCAGTTTTCCATGAGCTGTACGGTGTTAGGGAAAAAATTCTGAAGTAACATCAGACAAGGAAACACGACCACGGAGAGGAACTGGATCTGTTCCGCCGGCTGGTTGATGCTGCGACGCCGGTCCATCATGCTCAGCGGCGTGTAGCCCATGGACCGCTCTTTGTCGCCCTACGAAATCAAGTCGTGTGTCAAGCTAACCGGCACCACAATTAGAACTATCGTGCTCACTAATAAGTGAGCACGATAGTTCTAATTCGCTATTGCGAACACAAATGGTGGGGAAACCAAAGGACACCAGTGTTTTGACCAGGTAACTGCTGGTAATGCCGGTCAAAGAAGCTCTTCACGATGTTACTGCCGGTAGAGAAACAGTGAAAAGACGATAGAAGGGTCACGATCCTCAACAATGTGCGAAGGATTGGGAGAAGACCGCGTATAACAGAATACAGAATTTACTGGTGGTAGGACCTCTTGTGAGTATCCGTGAGTATCCACACGGATAGGTACCACGACCTTGCCTATTTCTGCCGTGAAGCAGTAATGCGTTTCGGTTTGAAAGGCGGGGCAACCGTTGTAACTATACTGAGACCTTAGAACTTATATCTCAAGGTGGGTGGCGCATTTACGTTGTAGATTTCTATGGGCTTCAGCAACCACTTAACACCAGGTGGGCTGTGAGCTCGTCCATCCATACCTATAAGCAATAAAAAATAATAATAAAATACAAACTTTCCTTACTTGATTATAAAACTCTTCATAGACGCATTGAGCGTTCGCTTTGGCGACTCCGAATGGCTTGCAGGATCCGGACAAGTCGCTGGTCGTCATTAGTATGCCCTGAAATCATGTACTTGCGTACAACACATTTATGTGTCGAACCGCTATATAAAGCGATGCAACAACTTATGTTTGAACCTGCAAGCGTATTCACAAACTACTTCCACAAAAAAAAAATATTTCCAAAATTACAAATTCGCCTAATGCTAAAGTCGGGTTGTAAGCCACTGATGGTTATTTCGGTTTGATAGGTGAAACAGCTGCAACACATTACAATTGAGATTACAACCCCATTTACCCTAAGGAGTTTCCTATACCCTATTTCCATTAATCGTAATCGTTACAAAATAATATTAAAATAATACTGTGTGCTCAATACAAGTTTTTTTAACGTTCTCGATAGCGTAAAAGTTAACAGCGCCCCTAGCGGCAAACGTTCCAACTCCATACAAATTTGAGTTAACTTTTACGCTATCGAGAACGTTAAAAAAACTCGCACTAAGCATACAGCTGTGTAAAATTATTGCTCACTAGTTGACCCGGCAGACTTCGTAGTGCCTCAATCCGTTCAGTGCCGATAAATAAAAGACCTAAGCTTTTATATAAAATAAACTTAAAAGAAACAAAAGGAATCCGTCCGACAGGGGGGGACACATCAAAGATAAAAAATAAAATAATTATTTTTATTTAAATCCGAGCATTTTCATATTTATCTACCATTTAAGCTTTCTCTGGACTTCTACAAGTAATTCAAGACCCAAATTAGCCAAATCGGTCCAGCCATTCTCGAGTTTTAGCGAGACTAACGAACAGCAATTCATTTTTATATATATAGATTGTAGTGTTACACATCACTTCGCAAAGAGCAGTCAAGGTCTGCAGTGTACCTTGAGTAGCTTCCTGTGCTGGTTGTCGTTCCAGTCGAAGGTCTGGTCAGCGATGAGCGGCGCCAGCTGCGCCCTCAGCTGGAAGTACACCGCCAGGTCGGTGCACAGTATGGCGTATTTCATCTCCTCCAATATTCGTTCTTGATCGACTATCGGTAACTTGCTGAATATTTGTTTATCCTGATCAAAGGGTTCAGTGATTAAACGGATATTTTATACAGAAAAGGATTTATTTGAATTTGCTAACGTTATTTCGACAGTCTACCACCAACTTCACTACGTCCCAGCGTCTTCTAAACTTGTATGGGTAGGCAAACTTTTTTATTGCCTAAATGGGGGGAAGAGCTCAAGACTTAACTGGTGTTAAGTGGGTACTGGAGCCCATAGACATCAGGTAGGGTGGCAGCACCTCCCTCTGCAGAGTCACCAGACACCCTAACACCAGTAATTATACTATTTCCATTTCTTTATTTTCCCGATGACAGATCCTGTGGAAACTTGAACGAGCGTTTTTATTATTATTTAATAAAAGTATGACGCTTACAAGAAGTTCAAGCTCATAGCAGAGTCGGAGGAGTTGGAGGATTTGGTCTCAACACTACAACTAGAAGAACTGTCATCGAGAAAATAAAGAAATGGAAATAATACCTACCTACTTATAGGCAAATTAAATTTTTTACTGGTTTTGTTTATTACACGATGAATTATTTTAGTCAGTTCACGATTAGTGATTACAGTCAGGTCGCTCGATACGAATGCACCGGGCGTCTTGTTCCGCCTCCCATCTATTTCTGCTGTGAAGCAGCCGTGCGTTCGGGCTTGTTGGAGTTGGCAGCCGTTATATCTACTATATTAGCAGACATCGACATCGACTTTGTGTTCCCAGGTGAGTAGCGGCCTTCATGTTGGTAACCACTTAACATGAGATGGGCATTTGATTTTTTTCGAGGTCAAGAGGAAATCGTCGAACTTCCGCTTACGCGTGAGATCGGCAGGCGGGGGATGTTGGCATTGGCCCGACTAAAGCTTCTTGTTCAAAAAGCCACGTCCGAGTCTCGGCTAAGACAGTATTACTCTTCGGGAGCACGATAGGAACAAGAAAACATATTTCGCAGAGATATTACAGAGTATAATTCTCCACCACCCTGTTTCATTGGACATCGAAATTATCGGTCGATGGGTTATCCAAAGTCCACCAAGACTGCGTTACAAGTCATGACCTCAGAATACCTAGCTGGATGAGAATCAAGTCCGCCAGCCAGCGCGATCATCCCTCGCCTGGTTACAAGGTGATCTAGTAAAATAATATCTTTGTCGGGATTATTGGCTGCCGTACCTGTCACGTAACGGTTTAAAATAATGAAATACCTCAACGATCTTCTTGGCGAGAAAATAATGATGATTCTCGAGTATCGACGTCTTGTACATGAGGGCCAGTGGGTGCTTGCAGAGCATCAGGAAGTTGTTGTTGTACCCGGGATGGTCCAGGTCGTGACAGAGACCCGATATCATTAGGGCCGCCACCTGAGTCCACAAAATATATTTTATTAAAGTAAAAAAAATATTATGACGCATATTTTTATCCTCATCAGCTTACAATTCTCGTATTTGTAAGAAGGTCTCGTTTTTTACTGGTGGTAGGACCTCTTGTGAGTCCGCACGGGTAGGTACCACCACCCCGCCTATTTCTGCCGTGAAGCAGTAATGCGTTTCGGTTTGAAGGGTGGGGCAGCCGTTGTAACTATAATTGAGACCTTAGAACTTATATCTCAAGGTGGGTTGCGCATTTACGTTGTAGATGTCTATGGGTTCCAGTAACCACTTAACATCAGGTGGGCTGTGAGCTCGTTCACCCATCTAAGCAATAAAAAAATAAAAAACTTGTATTTGTAAGAAGTTACCATCGCTCATGCATAGACACATCCGATCCGCTCAATACAATGAATTCGTGAGTAAAACCTGGGCAACATATGCTTTGCATAATCCAAGCTCAGCAGGATCAGGTAGATTACGGTTAGACTGTGCTGCCGGTATTACCGAGGTTCATGACTGTTTGTGACCACTTTCGACCATTTAAACAGGCCGTAAGCGAGTTAAAAGACACGTCACAACTTTTCGCCACACGTTAAACCTTTGTGAATAAACAAAAAGACATATCAACGGTTTCTAGAACAACACTAACTTCAGCGAACTCAAAGTAGCCCGTATTGTTGACTAATATCATGAACATCGTGTGGGTGAACGTGAAGGCGTGCTGCGCGTTGTGGTACGGGTTGTCCCTGTAACAGCTGAGGACGGATAACACGAACTCCGCTAGCTGCTGTCGCTCGAAATTACGATCGGCAAACGTTTCCTTGAACATGTAGCACACCAGGCCCGCCATCTCCTCCCTGTTCCCTTCGCTGATGTCGTAATCATAACTGAAGCAAGCATAATGATTTATATATTTAATTGCCTTCAAGTAAATGATGACATTACCCGGCGATAAAAATTTCAAATCGACAATTGGAAAGAGACAATCGGCTCATTTCGGCTTCGTAGTCGCTCTGAGCACTAACATTTTGCTATCTATTACGATCGCATACTAATGCCATTAACCCACTGAGTTTCTCGCCGGATCTTCTCAGTGGGCCGCGATTCCAATTCGGTATTAGATTCAGCGAAGCAGTGCTCTTTCTAGGGCTAGTGTTAGCAATTCTCTCAGGTTGAGCCCGTGAGCTCACCTACCCGTCCGTGTGAAGTTTAAATAGCCTCTTAGGCTACCAACGATTAGGTAGGGAAAACATTGAATGAATCCTTAATAATAGCTCTAAGCATGCCTCCGTGGGAAATAATGTACAGAAAAAAATTGTTAGAAACGTCGTATCTTCAAATGTTCCCAACCACAACACTAAGATTATCGACAATTTAAATAGCTATCTTCTGTATTCAGTGAAATTAAAAAGGCAAAACCCTTTGTTACAGGTATCAGTAAATGAAGGTAAGATACGTCACGTCCGGAAGTTACTAGGCGGCAGCAGAATGCCGTTGGTCTCCATCAGTTCCTCGACGTCATGCCGACAGGGTTTCAGGTGGAGCTTCATCAGGTCGTTGTAAATTATGTTCTTATTTTCCTGCAAAAATACTGTTATTGGAAGTCGTCGTGGCCTAAAGGATAAGACGTCCGGTGCATTCGTGTGTAGCGATGCACCGGTGTTTGAATCACGCAGGCGGGTACCAATTTTTCTAATGAAATACGTACTCAACAAATGTTCACGATTGACTTCTACGGTGAAGGAATAACATCGTGTAATAAAAATTAAACCCGCAAAATTATAATTTGCGTAATCACTGGTGGTAGGACCTCTTGGGAGTCCGCACGGGTAGGTACCACCACCCCACCTATTTCCGCCGTGAAGCAGTAATGCNGGCGCCATCTAGGCGGGCTTCGGACAGCCTGCCGACCGAGAGGGCTGGTGGTCGTGGCGCCGACGATCGCTGGCCTGGCGTCCCGAGGGGGAGGGTGATGAGAGAGATGTGCTCCGCACTAAACGCTTCACTTTCCTCCCTTTGCCTCTTCATGAGTTCTGTCTCATGCGAGGTTTGGACGTTGGTTGTTGAGCGACAGAAGGTTTTAGTCGGTTCGACTCCGACATGCCCCACCCCCCATCCCCAGTGGAGGGTGGGAGTCCGGCGATTTCCTCCTGACCAAAAAAAAAAAAAAAAACCCACTGAGTTTCTCGCCGGATCTTCTCAGTGGGCCGCGATTCCAATCCGGTAATAGATTCAGCGAAGCACTGCTCTTGCTAGGGCTTGTGTTAGCAATTCTCTCAGGTTGAGCCCGTGCGCTCATCTACTGATCGGGGTGAAGTTTGAATAGCCCCTAAGGCTACCAACGATTAGGTAGGGAAAACATTGAATGAATCCTTAATAATAGCTCTAAGCATGCTGCATGGAAAATAATGTACAATTTTTTTTTATTAGAAGTGTCGTATCTTCAAATGTTCCCAACCACAACACTAAGATTATCGACAATTTAAATAGCTATCTTCTGTATTGAGTGAAATTAAAAAGGCAAAACCCTATGGTACAGGTATCAGTAAATGAAGGTAAGATACGTTACGTCCGGAAGTTACTAGGCGGCAGCAGAATGCCGTTGGTCTCCATCAGTTCCTCGACGTCATGCCGACAGGGTTTCAGGTGGAGCTTCATCAGATCGTTATAAATTATGTTCTTATTTTCCTGCAAGAATACTGTTATTTATTAGATCGAAAACATATTGCCTGTGGTTCTATGTCTGATAGAATGTGTAAGTGCGTCATGGTTCAAATATCCACAGATACGATTGCATTGATTAAGAAGTTCCTCTCATCGAAATCTTAATAAAAACAAACGACGTACTTTTTGATATATTTTTAAGGCATTGATGCGTAAACTTGTTGTGAAGCAGCTACCGGAGCGAATAAATATCACGTTTTTTGTGAAGGAAGAAGTACTGGTGGCCCGGAGGCCTGGGCTCAACCAGGAGGGGTGGGATTTGCTAACAGCCCGAGCGCTTCCCGAAGAAATCTAACACCTCAAGAGCAGCTGCTGTGCGAATGAATTTAGTACCGGATCAGAATCGCGACCCACCGAGAATATCCGGCGAGAAACTCAGTGGGCTGATGCATGGGTTAGGTTGCACGTCGAAGTCTTTAGCGAGTTTGACGAGTATGGTTACCAGAGTCACTAAGCCGCCACCTAATGTTAGAGCTGAAGGCGTCTCATCCAAGAGTTATCAGTACCGATGGATCCGCAAAACGTGAAGACAAGAGCAAGAGCAAGGTTAGAGTTTTCAGGGTATCGTAATGTGATTAATACCATATGCTTATTTATTTCCGTCAAAGTTTGAGGAATTGCATTGGATCACTGGTAATTAGGCTACATACAACAAGCCGTAAGAACACTGTATAAAGCGATATTTAATTTATAATGAACAACTGCTCCGCGACATTTCGTAGTCAAAAGAATTATTTCGTTTCTTACATGATATATTTTCTTCTGATGCATATTATAGAAGTGTACGATTAGAGAACAATAACTTATAAACACTTCGAATATCATTTCGTCTTCGTGATTGAAGGGAAGGGCGTTGTTTTTGTTCGTTAGCTGCACCACTCCTGAAAATTAATAATGTTTTCTATAAAAAATACTTTAAGTTTTCACAATTTACATCACAAAAAATCAGCAGTGCTAAAGCTGCAAATTCTTCCTTCCTTCTTTAATACCTTCGACTATCGAAGGAGGGTAATGTTTTTCGGGTGTATTTACAAGCTAATCGCTGAATTATCTTGCACCACTTTGAGAATGCGGCACGACCTGAAAACCATCTTGTCGTGGCCGCCGGAAATTACATACCCGATTCTGCGGACCGAACGGTAAACAATCAACGTCGCCCTAAACACGTCATTACGGATCCTCCCGATCCATTACCGGTGCTTTTAAGTACCCCAAGCATCGGTCACCATCTTCGCCGAACCCGTCGCTTGCGACAAAGGGCTCTTTTTTTTATTGCTTAGATGGGTGGACGAGCTCACAGCCCACCTGGTGTTAAGTGGTTACCGGAGCCCATAGACATCTGCAACGTAAATGCAACTGCCACCCACCTTGAGATATGAGTTCTAAGGTCTCAGTACAGTATAACGGCTGCCCCACCCTTCAAAACGAAACTCATTACTGCTTCTACCACCAGTAGATAGCACCACCACCACCACTAGTAGTTCGAAAACTTGTTTTTTTTAGGATTGAAAGATTACTGAGAAGAAACCGAAAAACCGAAGAAAGATTACTAAGACCTTGCTTTGTTAGACTACAAATAAAATCGGTTATTATTTGCTAAATAATTAGGAACGTCGGTAATCATCCGGTTTTACCGATTACTCCATGTTTATCGACGATGGGCGACACCAAGCAGGACCTGACGACAGTGCCGGTTGTCGAATCTATTTCCTTCGTAAACCTCGAGTCTTTGTACGCGTCATTTACGTTTAATTTCTTTCCGGTTCGCGATACCAGACCCGCCGGGGTGTGCTCACGACTCAAACTGAAACGAACGGATTAAAGTTCACTAAAGAAAAACCGAATAAACTAAAATAATTCATGTTTTTTTCTGATAGGATTGTTTAATATGTATGACTAGTTTTAGGTCACTACTGTAGACGTTGTTACCAATTGTGACGTCAGTAATAAAGAACTAATAATACACAGTAATGAAAGACACCGTTTATTCCGTAAGATGGTACATGTGTTTACATAATGACCGGCGCCGGCACAGAACACTATTACTTCTAGCGAAGGGCGCCGGCACAGAACACTATTACTTCTTGGGCGCCGGGCAACTGGTGCAGCGTAATGCAATAACTGCATGCGTAAGCGCTTACGTGTCCCTACAACTAGCTATGTATGTGCCATAGAAAAACTACGTCTCAGTCATAAAATTCAAATCTTAAATTACGATAAGTACATTGCGATTATTCATAGTAAATCGTTATCAGAACATTGGTAGGTAAGCTATTAGTCGTTCATGACCACAAACACCATAAGGTAGTCAAAATGTCATATTTAATTTAGTATTAAAAAAAACCGAAGTGAAACCGTAAAAGTTATTTTAATTATGGCCATAACTCGCAAAACCGAAAAAAATATTATAGTTATACGGAAGCATCTCCACAAACGAGAAACTTAACAGGATAGGAAGTAAGAATATATAATAAGTTTTTTTTCTTTTACCTGTTTGACTCTGTCGTTTATTCGTGAAAAAAAAAACCAGTTGAAGCTACTGATATCTATCTAAGGAGATAAACTCGATATTAACGATACTGTATTGGAATTATATTCCCAATCCTGCGGACAGAATGGAAAGCAGTCGACGTCGCTCCAAACACGTCATTTCGGATCCTCTCGATTCGCTAACGGTGCTTTTAGGTACCTCAACCATCGGTCATCGTTCTCGTCGAACCCGTCGCTTGCGACGAAGAGCTCGACGAGTAAATTAACCCTCAGACACAGCCCACTGAGTTTCTCGCCGGATCTTCTCAGTGGGTAGCGTTTCGGATCCGGTGGTAGATTCTGCGAAGCGCAGTTCTTGCTGGGGTTCGTGTTAGCAACGTCGTCAGGTTTGAGCCCCGTGAGCTCACCTACTAGTTAAGGTTACGCTGAAATAGCCTCTCAAGGCTCTCAGCTAGGTAGGCAAAAAAAAAAGCATTGGAACGACATTGGATATTGTCTGGTCATTAGATAAGCTCAAAGATTAAAGAAACCAATGCTAGGAATTTAAATTAATTCAACAATATAATAATTTACTTAATTTTAGTTCTCTTCCGTGGCATTTTAGATTTTTCTGTGGACCACCCATCGTCCCACATGTCCGCGTAAACATCATCACCGAAATATTCCTTGTCTATAATGTAGAAACTACTCCTCATAGCTCCTATGAATGATTTCACGATCGCCTGCGTAATTCAGTATTCAATTTTTTTAAACAAGCCTAAAGCCACTTCGTAATAATTACTAGATACATTTCAGTCATATGCAGTTTGGTCGGAACTACCACCGTGCCCAACACAATAATTTGTATTCGTCCTGAACGTAATGTAACACAAATTACATAATAGATTCAATGGCAGGCGGTGTCAAAAGTTTTGGAAGGAAACGGGGCACAGCTACTAGGAATTTTACGCAATCAACTGTGGGCTCAACGTACTAAAAGTTCAAGCCTATTTTCTGTTTTTCCATAACTTATTGTAAACATTCCCGTTTCGGCTTTTAGTCTTTAGTAAAGTTTTTTTAACAATGGACGTTATATAGAGTTCTTGGGTAAAAATTTAAAAAGTTTAGTTAGAGAACATTTTGGACATGGAATACAAAGAGTCACGGCTACGCCAAAACAATGTTTATTTAACAGAGACGTTGAACACAAACCAACATATCAGTAAGCATGGTGTCGATGGACGCGAGGTCACAGAAATAGTTGTGTAGCAGTGTCCTGAGCTCCGAGTTGAGATGGGCGGTCTTCTGAAGGGTGATTCGCTCTTGGGCCTGGTGAACAGCCGCCCCTGCCCAGCAAGCCACGCTCACAACAGTGTACACAGTGTCCTGGAACGTAATCTTTCGGAATCGGAATTCGGAATTTGTCGTCGTCGTGGCCCAAAGGATAAGACGTCCGGTGCATTCGTCTAGATACGAATGCACCGGTGTTCGAATCCCGCAAGCGGGTATCAATTTTTCTAATGAAATACTTACTTAACAAATGTTCACGATTGACTTCCACGGTGAAGGAAGAACATCGTGTAATAAAAATCAAATGCGCAAAATTATAATTTGCGTAATTACTGGTGGTAGGACGACTTGTAAGTCTGCACGGGTAGGTACCTACCACCGCCCTGCCTATTTCTGCCATGAAGCAGTAATGTGTTTTGGTTTGAAGGGTAGGGCAGCCGTTGTAACTATACTGATACCTTAGAGCTCATATCTCAAGGTGGGTGTCAGCATTTACGTTGCAGATGTCTATGGGCTGTGAGCTCGTCCACCCATATATGCAGTAAAAAAAAACACGACCGCTACTTCAATGCACCTGAGTTCTCGAAAATTTATCAATTTTTGATGCGGAATAAATTTATGTGTATGGCTCTGGTAGAAGTCTAACATGCCTTTCCACGGCAACGAAAAAACGCATCCGAGTCAAGAGACGCGAGTCCAGACTGGTTAGATGAAATATTAACACGGCTCGACTCGTCCTAGTCCAATGTGCTTAGCGCAAGCTTTTTACGTTCTCGATCGCGTAAAAGTTATCTAAAATTTGTATGGAATTGGAACGTTTGCCGCTAGGGGCGCTGTTCCAACTCCATCCAAATTTGAGTTAACTTTTACGCCATCGAGAACGTTAAAAAACTCGGACTACGCACACAGTACAAGAAGACTTACATCATCATATGGCTCGGCATGCGTCCTGTACATTTCTAAGACGGCGTGGCATTCTCCGTCGGGCTTTAACACTGGCATGCACAGTGCTACCTTCGCCTCGATCCATTTTAAGCCTTCAGCGAAGCGTCTATCACGTTGCACATCATCAAGCACTAGCATCTCTTTGGTAAAGGCCACGTGGGCAGCTACGACCTTATTCTCTCCTAGAAAACAGGAAATGTGCTAGATGCATGTTGTGAGGCCGCAGAGATGTTCGAACCTCCAAGTCTTTGGTACTTGATATACATGATGAATGTTTCTTAGCGAGGTTCCATTGACTTGGAACTATCTAGATTTCGATAATGAAGAAACACTCAACCAAAAAGCAGCCAAAGAACAAAAGAACTTACCAATAGGTATGTTAACTTCGTGTCTATCAGGATTCTTCGTATTTTGGGACATTAAGACGATCTCACCCTTCATTTGATCGACCGTGTATACAAAAACTCCTAGCAGATATTGAAAAAAGATCAAAACATGTTTTATTTTGGGTAATTAAATCTATCATCTACTTTCCTCGTATATTAGGTCTAATTTTGTAAACGCATATCTTATCATGGAAGATGTGAAAAACCCCTCAAGGCCCTTCTGTTTTTAGAATACGGGCACCTCAAAGCGTATGATGTATACCTTCAGACATGACATTTAACTTTATTCGAATAACAAACCCCTTGCCTTTTAAAAGAAACGCGATCACTATGGGCATACATATATACTTGTAATCTTTAAAGGGCGTTTTCTTTATTGAATCTACGAAGCTTCAAATAAGCCAAATTACCGGAGCTATTGGTAAAGTTCTTCAAAACCATGGCAGTTTCGTACAATAACGCGTCCAAATCGATCTCGTCATCCAGGAACACGTTGAATCTGTTAATGTCGAGATATTTCCTGGCCTTCTGTTCGGATTCTTTCAAGCCTTTCCGTTCTATTTGCGCGTACGGAGCGATCACTCGTCTGGTCACCTTGTCCAGTTTCTCGGACGGGACCAAGAAGTGAGATTGTACTTTGGTCAAGCTCTTCTTGGACAAAGAGTCTTCGGCGTCTTGCTGCTTCACGTCCTGTTTGCTTTTTGTCGATTTCACATTCTTAGGAGTAAGTTCGTGCATCATTTTTATTAAATTTATGTTAATTAAAGTAAAACGTCAAATATTCGTCCAATCGTAACACAAAAGAGTTTACATATCGGGTGAAAGGTTGTTTGGTTTAAGCGATATTTTTGCAACTTTACAGGAGATTAAAATTTATTGAAAGCTTAAAATTTGAAAAAAATGTCATATCACAATACTTAGGTCATAGAAATGATCATACATTTTTTTATGCATTGAAAGCTTACTATTTTGTAGTAGTACAGTGTGCTTAATGCGAGTTAACGTTCTCGATAGTGTAAAAGCAAATTTGTATGAAATTGGAACGTTTGCCTAGGTTTGCCGCTAGGGGCGCTGTTGCAACTGCATACAAATTTGAGTTAACTTTTACGATATCGAGAACGTTAAAAAACTCGCACTAAGCATACAGAATCGACAAGCGGACGAGTCTTAATCGGTAATGATTGCAGTACTGACCAATGTTTCATGAGGACAATAACAAATGATATACTTCATGAAAATAAAACCAAAGGTTAACAAGTAACATTACATCTTTAATATCATTAGTTTTAATATTCTATTTTACATTATTACTGTCCCATTAGTGTCTTCAGAAGAAAAAATAGTGCGAGATAATTCTAAATTACATAATCAATAACAAATAATTGTTTTATAGGTCAAGTTTATTCCAGTTGCTCAGCACGCACGTTACTTCATATAAATATATATCGGCTCGTAAATTTTCTTGATAAAGTCTTATTCGTAAGCCCTCAGTCATTGTTCTGTGCAAATTTAATTTATTTATGATTGTTTAATGAATTTCCCAATTAAATGGGTAAATCGTATTTTTTTCTCCCTAAAATCCATGTGTTTAAGGGAAAAATAAAAAAAATATATATGAAAATGACGTCACTGAACATTAAGTATAATCGTATCGTAACTAAAGAGCAACAAGCCATGTTAGTCAAAAATCAATCCAGAAAGGTAATCCAACATTATTGAATCAGTTTTTCGATAAGTATCCACATAACACGAAATTCGTTAGTTTTCTTTGTTGCTTTTTCATTTTCTTATAGTGACTATTGCCAGTAACTTTAAATAAAATACCTTTTGTGATTTTTTATTGCTTATAGTTCTTTCGTCCTTNTAACTAAAGAGCAACAAGCCATGTTAGTCAAAAATCAATCCAGAAAGGTAATCCAACATTATTGAATCAGTTTTTCGATAAGTATCCACATAACACGAAATTCGTTAGTTTTCTTTGTTGCTTTTTCATTTTCTTATAGTGACTATTGCCAGTAACTTTAAATAAAATACCTTTTGTGATTTTTTATTGCTTATAGTTCTTTCGTCCTTTTTTATTTCTTTATCTTATTCTAATAACTTTCAGCGCCTTTTTTTAAATTTACCCGGTTGGTACTTTAGCGCCACCCTTATTTAGAAGATTCTAACGGACACTTTTTCACACACAGAGACGGTTCTCCTTACCTCTACCCTCCATATTAAAAATACAAACAGAGGTGTTGCCATCACAGAAAATACATATGAATAGATTCCTAATTGTCAAGACCGACAATGACTGTCAATTGTGAAGATCTGACTCTGAACACAGTTCTACTGATATTGAATATGGTGTTTTTATGTGGTTTAGTTGTCTTAATTTTCTTGCCATGTTAAGAATTAAATAAATACGTATAAATTCCCCGTTAAGTAAATAAGTATTTGAAATATCGAAAATTAAAAAAGAAACGTGAGACTGAATCATAGCATAGTTTATGGTCATGTATAGAGTTAGTAGTTAGTAGAGGCGAGGCGCCGCTCACAGCTTGCGGCGCGCGCGGGGGCGGTGGTAGGAGGGGCGCGGGACGTGCGGGCGCTCGCTGCTGTCCCCGGGCGCGCCCACCGACTCGTCCAGCGGCTCAGCGCGCGGAGTGAACAGCTTCCGCCGACTTCGAGTTATGCTGGAAACGAAAAATTATGTTGTTGATACTATTTTGTCATGTTGTTATGTTGATGTTACTCCTGTTCGTGAACAGGACTTAAGTACGTGTGTAGCCATATTAACCTACTCGCTCGAGGCGCCCTAGGGCTGCAGCTTCAACTCACCCGGACAAGCGGTATCAGTTTTTTTTTTTTTTTTACTGCCCCTATAGTCAGACGAGCATATGGTCCACCTGATGGTGAGTAGTTACCCTCGCCTATGGACTTCAGCAATGCCGCTGCCTACCCGTTCTTGGCTACGAAGCAGTGTTGCTATGAAGCAATATTGTTTATATATGTGATTGTGATTATATACGTGATTGTTAGTAAATATTTATTTATTTATTTTTCATTAACCATTTTCATTAACCATATGTCAAAATCTGTTATAACGACATCGAAGGGACTGCTCATATTCAGTCGTAAAAACCGATAGTCGTAACAACCGGTGATGTTTAATGTGTATCGTGCAAGTACAAACAAATCGATAGGAATTATTGGAAAAATATATTTACATAATATGTGATTTTTCTTCAATATTAATTTGTTTTCTTTTTCTTTGAGACATTTTGAAAGTTTCACGAATAACTCCACAAAGTTTTGGTGCGTCTTGTGTATAGATAAGTAACAAACTAACTGAAGAGATATGAAGAAGCGGGCTTTGACTCTACCGCATGCACGTGTTTTGTTTCTAAGAATTAGAAAAGACCCTACACTAAACTAAATCCTATTGTTTTCTTTCCTGATCTTAATAGCCATTGAAGACAAATGTGGATACCTATTCAAATTGTTTACAATACAGCTTAGCCGGTCGTTCAAACAGATCTAATTCTCCGAAATATTAGTTAAATGTGGTCGTTTTATGAGGTATGTCGTTATTAGCAATGTCGTATAAAGCAATATTTTTAATAAGGCGGTCATATAGCATTCAGTCGGGACCTTTGTTCTAGGTTATTATAACCGGCATGTTGTTCTAAACGATGTCGCAGTAAACGGTTTTGACTGTAATTACCTTTTTGAAGGACAGCTTTGAACCCCGAGCATGGGGGGCAGATTTTCTTCCGATTCCTTCTCTGGGGAAGGGCCCGCCCCCCCGCCGCGCCCGGCCGCCGTCACGTCGGGGTACTCGTCGTGCAAGTTCCCGATGTCGGCGAGGGTGGGGGGAGCCGCGTCGGGCGCGCGCCGCCTCGCTCGTCTCGGCCTAGTTTTGATTTCAGACTTCTCCTCGCTTTCATCCATTATCTTAACACTTTCATTTTTCTCTTTTTTTCTATCTATTGGTTTACTCCGCAGATTATATTTTACTCGTTCGAATTCTGATAGATTCGATTTGAGGTCTGTCTCCGCGTCGTCCGCGGCGGCGCCGCTAGTGTTGTGGTCCCCGGTCTCCCTGCTCGCATTCTGTGAGACCAGCGTCTCAAACTCCGCGGCTCGAGACGTCGACACATCTTTGTACAGGTTCTCGAACTCGTCGATAGTGTTGTCCGCTGGGACGGCGTCTGTATCTCTTGTGAGTGTGATGATGACGTCAGCCGCGAGTTTGTCGTGTACGCTACTGTCGCCAGGCTCGTCCTTCGACAGTTGCGGTTCTAGTTTAATGTTTATTTCGTGTTCGGTTGATGAGGTCAGTCCCGGTGAGACCCTTGCAGCACGCATCCCCGCGGGGGACGCGGCGGGGGCTGCTGGCGAATCAAACCCTTCAAATATATCAACGGAGTCGTGTTTCTTTTTGTGGGTCGACATGACCACATCAATCGGTTTGGATAGATTTTTACACATCAACTTCTTCATGGTACTCGGTCTATTAAAGTCCTCTATAAACTCTTCTTTCACTATAGACGGGGACCTTTCTTCTAGTTTAAGCAGCTCGCTGATCTTCTTATGTGCTAAATTGTTGTCAACTTTGACAGATATGTTGTCAAAATATGTTCTTTTTTCTTTGCCTGTATTAACAACATCTAATGTGGCCGCGTCCAGAGCGTTATCTTCAAAATACGACTTTTTCAATTCGACTACAGTTTGTTTGTTTAGTAACATGCTCGGTGCGTTATCGTTAAACGGAACCTTATTACCTTTATCTTGTTCTATTGTATTTTGTTCAGATTTAACATCATCAAAGTAGTTCCGTTTCTCCTTGAGGATATTGAAGCCGAGGTCGGCGCGGGGGGAAGCGAGGGGGGCGGCGAGGGGTTCCTCAGTTTTGGTCGCCATTTCTATCCGCTCGAACTGCGCCAGGGAGCTATCGCTGCCTTTAGATTTGAGCGACCTTATGATCTGATTGACCAAAGTCTCCTTGGGAACTTTGAACTCTAAATTGTCTTCCCGCTGTTCTGTTTCTATAACATCTTTTTTCTCTTCATTTGTAACGTCCATACTGTCGTCTGTATTGATTTTATTCTCGATAGTTCGATCCTCGCGTCCGTCGCGGTACGAGCCTCTGAATTCATTAATCTTGTTAGTGTTTTCCGCATTAAAACTAACATCAATAGGATTTTCCGTTGATAAATCTGCAGCGCTCACATCTCCTGCGCCGTCAACAACACTGGCAGAACTTAACACTGACCCTTCTGTGCGCTCGGTGACATCGAATGCAGTGTCTTCTGTACATTCTTCTGGATTCGTTTTCACAGTGTTATGTTCAGTGAACTCTACCTCTGTAATAGGCAGCAATGAGTGTTGAATGGAGTCATCACAAGTCTGATCCTCAGATGTGTCCAAGGTGTGGTCCGGGCCTGGGAGTGCAATGCGAGCAGGTTCTCTTGGACCGAGCTGCGATTTACTCAAGTTATCCTTTCTGAAGGTCGGCTCGAGGCTCTGGTCGAGAGGGTCGGCCTCCTCTTCGCTGTCAGGTTCGCTGTCAGCGACAGACATAACATCTTCGTTGTCCGCTGAGGCATTGTCTTTGAATGCTTTTTCTGAAACAATAATTTTTTAGTTTAAGCGTTGTACGTGTATGCAGACCTCATGTATTGCATTAGAATCAGCCGTTCTGCCTCAGCACAGCTACACTACCGTCTCTCTCGTCTATACAGCTGCGGAGATGTTCCACTTCGTTCTGTGCCCGGGCTCGTGCCAGCTGCTCTTCAAGTAATTTTTCCTGCAACAATAAAGCAATAACTGTCTTAAACTCATATTCTACATGCGCATACACTCGCACTCTCACACATACACAATTTCTATAACCAATGTCAGTTATCACATCCAAAATACAAATTTAACACCGAGACACACTGTGCTAAGAAATATCAAACAGTTCTCAGTCAGTATCCACAAAAAAACTTTGTCTAGAAGATTTATTAGCTTCTTGAATATATCTTAAAAATTAATACTATGTATGTAATATAATGATAATTACTAATAGTAGTTATTTTTATATTGATTTTAATGAAAACACAGCAAACAACCAAATATACAATTTGAATGTAGTTTTTAACACGCAATATAGTTAACGTAGTTTAATATAATAGTTTTTTTTTATTGCTTAGATGGGTGGACGATCTCACAGCCCACGTGGTGTTAAGTGGTTACTGGAGCCCATTAAGGATGTAAACCGGTTCGAAGAAAACCGGAGAAAAACCGGTTTTTATACATACCGATAAATACCGGTTTTTATTTAAGAATACCGGTTTTTTACGCTTTACATTCACAGTTCACACCAGTGCTACCAGATCAATCAAATTTGTTTCAGAATCAAATTACCGTGCATTACATTTAAAAGCTACAGTGCAATAACCACAATATGGTTGGTAGACTTTTAGCGTATGAAATGAGGACCGTGACCCAAATATCCACATATCTGCACCCAACACTCAGAAATGGCTTTCGCTATCCAGAGCACATGTTGTCTGCAAAAGAGATGGTGCATCGTGAACTGGGGAATCTTCTTGAAGAATTTTCAACTCTCGCTTTATCATCGGAACAGCCAGAAAAAACCACAAACTATTTTAAAAGGTCTGGTATTCTGGATTTTTTGCATTCGCGAAAACGGGATATTCCGAACGCCACGGCGGCCGCAGTGAATATAGTGCGAATGTATATTGAGACTGAAGCCGCCACAGTAAACCACACCGAAATTGCTGGCACGTGCTAACATCCAGAAGGAGCAGGCTTCTGAATGACGCAGTGGACCAACTATGCCTCTTGCATCAAAATTTTGATTTAATACAATAGTATTAAATCAAAAATAAAAAGCTTTTTATTATTATTGGATAATATATATGATCATTAAAAGCCTATATAAAATATGCTCACCCAATTAATAGTATGAAGAAAACTCTTCGTTTGTACGTAAATTTGTTTTGTTTAGTGATTATTTAGCCTTTATGGAAAAAACCTAAAAATACCTAAAAAAAACGGTTTTTTGAGAAAAAAACCGGTAACAAACCGGAGCAAGAAATTGTAATCGGTTCACATCGCTAGAGCCCATAGACATCTACAACGTAAATGGCGCCACTCACCTTGAAATATGAGTTCTGAGGTTTTGGTATATTTACAACGGCTGCCCCACCCTTTACTGCTTCACGGCAGAAATAGGCAGGGTGGTGGTACCTACCCGCGCGACTCACAAGACGCCCTACCACCAGTTATAATAAATTAATATGTGTTACCTCCAAAACAGCAATTTCTGTCATCAGCTCGGTTATCTGAAAAAATTAAATTGATAATTTATAAAAAAATTAATGATAGGAACACGGCGTGGTGGATCCATCCATCTCTAAAAAGCTTTGAACTCTAAAGAGAGTTCTGTTTCGTCCCGCGCGGGTCGATACGTTGACACGATAGACTATAGGCAATAAACAAAGGTCCGTGGCGAAGCACAAAAGCAAAAAAGATTTATGCACATTTATATACAGCGGGCTCGCTGACGATGCGACCTGTCCTCGCGGCCGCGACGTGACGGGGGCGTGACGGGGCCGGGGGACCTGACGTTGGGGGAGACATGTGACATGCCGTCCATTAAACAGTCCGGAACCGGCAAGGTTTAGTTCGAGGTGTGCGCGATTAGTGAGTAAACTACGTACCTTATTTTGTAGGAGCGGAGAGACGTTGGGTGGCGCTGCGATCTTCTCGAGATTGTTCTCATATTCTTCTGCCATCTCGTCCATCTGTTTCCACATTCAATTATACATTAGTATGGATCTATGTAAAATAATATTTCAACGCTTCCTAACGAATTCGTAGTTAATCTCAAAAATGAGGCTGATTAAAGATCAGTCATGTTCAGAGGTCACGAATCGAGCAGTCTGTGTTTCGCTTGCGTCTGTGAATATTACTTTATACACATTATCACAAAGACAAATATGTAAGAAGTAGTAATGAATGTTGCCAATGAACATCTATAGTAGAATTATTTTGTCCGTGCAGTTTGGGTCATAAATAATCGGAGCGGTGAAGCGAGTATTTCGCTCTCTCTTCCACTCACGAGCCTTATGGACGGGCACNAATCGAGCAGTCTGTGTTTCGCTTGCGTCTGTGAATATTACTTTATACACATTATCACAAAGACAAATATGTAAGAAGTAGTAATGAATGTTGCCAATGAACATCTATAGTAGAATTATTTTGTCCGTGCAGTTTGGGTCATAAATAATCGGAGCGGTGAAGCGAGTATTTCGCTCTCTCTTCCACTCACGAGCCTTATGGACGGGCATAGTGATGCGCATTATTGTTGTCGATAATCGTTATCGATAGTGTATTTAGTTTTGTCATTTTGTGGGTTAGTGATAAAAATGAAAGAAAAAATCACTAATCGAACACTTACATCACATATCGGCTATCGCCGCAGCCAGTTAGTGAGAATGGGAGAAATTAACACTTTGCAACTTTTCGGGATCTATTCTTATTTCACTGAATTTTTTTAACACATTGTTGATAACAACACGTGCAAATATTATTTTGAATAAATTCTGCCGTTTTCATATAAAACAAAGGAGTAGCCCTTGTGTCACTAAAGAAATTCAGAGAACGAATGCATAAAAACACATTTCTCTTAGACATAATGTACTATAATTTGCAGGTAAGTACAAATGACTCTTAACATAAAAATGTCTCACCACCCTTCGTATACCACCCCGCCGCCTTGTACCTGCCTTCGATGACTCATTTGTCTTTAACGATAATGGCGTTGCGTCCGCGCAACATGCTCACCGCCCTAGCCGGGCTATGTTTTATGACCCAAACTGCACGGACAAAATAATTCTACTATAGTCTATGATTCCACTATACAAATGTTGTTGACCTGCGTCCGCAGCGCCCGCAGCTGCTCCTCGTAGAACTGCTTGGTCAAGTCCTTGGCCTCGTCCACCAACTCCTTCATGGTCTGTGCAGTCTCCTGTTGGTGCGCCTCCATCGAGGCCATCAGCTCTCTGTTGCGGGCGTGTGCTCTGTAAGAATATAATTCTTATTTACTGTGATGAACCGTCAACAATCCACAATCACGGTTCGTTGCCCACCAATGGGATTAGGATAAAGGCGGTAGAACTCACTGGTGGTAGGACCTCTTGTGAGTCCGCGCGGGTTGGTACCGGCCCATTTCTGCCGTGAAGAAGTAATGCGTTTCAGTTTGAAAGGAAGGGCAGCTGTTGTAACTATACTGAGACCTTTGAACTTATATCTCAAGGTGGGTGGCGCATTTACGTTGTAAATGTCTATGTGCTCCAGTAACCACTTAACACCAGGTGGGCTGTGAGCTCGTCGACCCATCTAAGCAATAAAAATTTTTAAAAAAGGCCACATTGTTCTTTTGTAGTCCGCTGAGTTCCCCGCTGGTACTTAGGGCCCTCGCAAGCTGTTTCCACTTGACCCTGTCTTGACATCACTCCAGATCATGTCAGCAATCCTCATTTCTCTCTCCACATTGCTTTGATTTTTAATTATTCAAATTCAGACTCACTGTATTAGTTCGAAGTGCAGTCTCTCATTCTCGGTCCGCAGCCTCATCAGTTCGGCTCCGCTATCCAGGGTGCTGTCCTGTGCGCTGGTCTCGAAGGTGGTGGTCAGCACAGTGTTGTTGACCTCTGTAACGCATTTGCATTGACTGAGCGCGGGGACCAGAGTACGTATCGAGGGGTGAAACCCTATTCTCGTTCTAAATTGTATCTTTTCTCTCTAGCCGTAATGAAGAGCAACATATTGAAGTCTTATTTAAACTGATATCAATAGGACAATTAGAAGTTCATAGATCTTATAAAACGACATTCAAAGTTATTTTCGTTTTCCGTTTAGGTTAAATAGTTTGGATCGTTGTACTCACGTATGTCCTGTGCGACGGCGGCCAGAGACAGGACGTGCTTGGTCTCGTGAGCGTACTCCGGGGCCGGGTTGAGGGTCACCACCATGCTTACCGCCTCGCCGCGACACCCGGACAGTCCAGACCCCAGCAGCCGGGTCAGCTTTGATTCCCTGAGTATACAGTTTTTAAATTCTAACAAAAATGATACTTTAAAATCCTCAATTCGCTTTTTCCGCTTGGCGTCTGGTGATCCGTTTGCAGTTTCGCTTTGAGTAAATCCGATTACTAACTGCCTCCGTGTCATCTCTGCAACGCTTTTATAGCCGAAACGACATCTCTACAATTATCGAGACCATTCCAGGCAAGACCAGTCGTTTCGACATGTGTTTCCGTTCTTTGATAATAGATGGCGTTATACTTCTCGAGCGTTCTCGGTTTTGCTTTTGATGTTCGTTTCTGCTATTCGACGACAGATGGCGTAACAATATATAGATCGGGTATAGGGTACCTGTAGGGCACGAGCGCGTCGCGGGCGCAGCGCTGCTTGCGTCGCAGCGTGTGCAGACAGCGCTCGAGCACGTGCAGCGACGCGTTGATGGCGCGCGACTCCTGCATGCGGGCGCCCGTGTTGCGGGTGGCGCGCGCGCGCTCGCTGCCCGCCAGGTCGCACAGCCGCACGCTGGCCCACCGACCCGTGCCTTCTGTACGCAACACGAACTCAACATTAGGGTGTCACACTCAGGATGAATGTGACAAGACTGTAGGCCTTAGATACAACACATTGAGATATAAAGCATGTAAATGCTGATGATTATGTTTAAAGTTTAAAAAGTTCTTCTGGCCTATTCTTGGAGGAGATTATCCAGAATGCAATTAAGTTCTACTGTAGATTAGAATTGAAGACATGAGTCGGTGAAGGGGATATGATACAAATTGTTAATTTCGAGAAAATGGGTAACAAACTTTTGTTACTTGTACTTTTTCTTCATATATAACGAATACTATAACTAACACTATACTTCATATATAAATAATATCCATCATCACATGCATTTTCGAAAATCAGCCTTTGCAGCCTGGAGTTTTAAGGTCTAATATGGTTTATAGGCATATAACAACTTCATTCAATATAAAAACTCAAAAATCTTAAAAATGGTACTTAATTCCTTCATCCACTCATGTCTTCAATTATTTTATAGAAGTATACTACAGTATATGATACATAGGCTGCTTACCAGTCTCCGTTACCATAGTGATGGTGAAGATGCAGTGTGACCTTGAAGAGTGTGCATGTACTCCAGTGGCCGCCACAACGAGGTTGTGTTTACCAGCCACCATTATATCGTAAGCTTCCTCACCGGAACGGACAAATGCTTGAGTTGCACCCTAAAAATAAGATATTTTCCACATTTTACTTGAAAATTCATTAAAATTTCAATACATTAGGTTTCTTATTTCTGAAATATTTACCTTTACATATACATTCCCAGAAGAATCTTCTCTTATACGAAGTTTAGTTCTCTTCTCTGGAGGCGACAGCAAGTCATATATGGCTTCATTGTATATTTCAACGAATGATACCTGTCATAGAAAATATAGTTTTGCACAAAAAGGCCTGCAGATACACTCTCTTAGAGTAACTATACACATGTCTTATTTAGTTCTTTCAAGTGCTTCATATCAGACACAGGCGACGAGGCAATGCAAAGCCGCCGTCGTGCCGAAGCATGTCTTATCGGTTCCCCGTACAGTGGATCTTTCGGTGCTTTAAGGCCTTGCAAGTATTTATCTTCCTCCCCATCAAACTCGTTGATTATGGTGAAGAGTTTGACGAGTGAACTAACTTATAGATATAATCGACTAAGTTCTTCAATGGATCTTCTCAGTGGATCGCGAATCCAATTTGGTGGTAGATTCTGCAAAGCACTGCTCTTGCTCACCTATCCGTCTGCACGTAGCGGGAATAGCCTTTTAGGCTACCAGTGAATCAGTAAGGAAAAAAAATTAAGTTTTTAAAACTAACATTAATTATTTCTACTTACCCAAACGTAATATTTTGTTTTATTAGATAAATCAATTGTACTGGTAGTTAAGTCTCTTTGAAGCTGACTACTCATACGACGGTACTTGTCACGAAGAGGAGCCGAAACGTGACGCAATCTTTTGACCCACTGTAAAACAAAACTAATTACTGCAATAACAATAGCTTTTAGTCTGACTTTATTGTATATATTATTTTTTATATATTACGTTGATGTACAACATGTTTACATGCAAAAAACAAACTGTAATAAAAATAATTTTAAATCGTGATCTCACTATAAAATATTCATATAGTTTTTGTGCACTTGCCAAATAGGCACACTTCTCAACTATCACAATTTAGCATAATTATCACCAAGTTTTCTTTTTTTATTAACATAAAAACTAAAGACCCTCGTTTGTGGTACGTGATTCAAATTAATATTACTTCATTAATCCGCAAAAATCAGATCAGATTCAACTTATTTTGGCATCGTTGTATTAATTACAGAATTGATAACATCTAAATAGTAGTTAGTTATAACAAAGCAATTAAACCCTCGAGGGTGACTTAGCTGAAGTGCCTGGATGGTGGTGGTGGTGGCGGTGGTGGTATTCAAGGTCTCCAGATGATAGGACTAAGTGTATAAAACTTTTAATGGAAAGAAAGTGCAGACTATTTTATTGTGGAATAAACTGCCTCGGAAGTTTCCCGAGTCTATACTGCTATTGATGATGTATTACTTGATTCAAACCTGCAGTTCATACTCCTGCTCAGCATAACTGAGTTTCTCTGCACCACCATCAGCCGGTCTGTACAAAGGGTGCTGAGCTGCATCAACCAATTTGAACACATACTCCAGAGATCTTGGCACCAAGCCTGGAGCTCCAACAGTGCCCATTAATGTGTATGTCTTTCCAGAGCCTGACGCACCGTAAGTGAGAAGTGTGAAATTGTGACCGTCTGGTAGCTTCTTAAGGTTTTCTTTCACAACCTCTTCAAAAATTTCCTGAAAATTTGTTTTTAATTAATATGAATTAAATGTAGTCATTCTTTTTTTAAACTGGGTTTGAAAAGCATTTGGCTGTAAGTCTGACAATTTTTATATGAATGATGAGAACAGAGGCTATGGCCTGTAACTGATGCACAGGCAAACTTATGCTGAAGAGGGAGACTTATGAGTCTGCCTTCTTTGGCCATCGAAAAATTATATTATTGTGATGCCTCTAGTTGAAATATTTATGGCAGGACGATAACTAAGAATCGTTTGTTTAAACTAAATATTATAACAGTAGCATGCTTTTCAAGATCACTGAAATTTTTTGTACATGAATTATGTATTTGGTGATATTAAATTAAATATATGATATGATATGATATGTGATACTCACTTTCTGTGTACACTCCGCTCCAAATATACGGGAAAACGTATACATTTTAGACACATTATGTTGAGTGCGCCTTCCGTGGCCTGCCGTGGTAGTGTCAAGCGATGTTACTAAACTTTTATCTGATCGCACTTCGTAAATATAATTTGGTTCATTACATGGCTTCATCCGAAGATACACTTTCACTAGTTCAGGCTCTTCTATTTCAGAGTCTTCTTCAAAAAGTTCAAGTAAATTTGTACCCTTTTGTGGCTTAGGTCTCATGAATGGATTTCGTATGAGCGGTGGTCTAGGCTCAATGAAAGACGGTATGTCCCTCTTAGACGTTTCGTTGTCCGAATAACGTTGATCCATCATGTTTCTGTACATTAAGATTGTATTAAAATTATAAAAATTTAATCAGAAACAAAATATTTTAAGCCACAACGGTTTAACTTTCGAAAGTTTTTGACAGTTTTTATTAAAGGTATTTTAAATTTGTTTACGGCCGTCGACAATTAAACCTTTTAGTCCACTAGAAAATTATAAACTAGTGGAGCTCTTTTAAATTTTTTGCTTTGTATGTTGAATGAGCCATAATCCCAGTAGTGTTTACCAAGTGGTTACCAAACCCTATAGATATTAAAATATCAAAGCTGTTCGACGTTTTACAAGTCCGGCCAAGGAATTGAAGGGTGTGGAGATGCTCAGACGAGAGAAAACAAACCTTTTATTAATATATATTATTTATTTAACTGGACATTACTGGTTTTACTGTTATACATTTTTTCTTAGAGACCATAGTGTTATAACGCTACTCTTCATATCCTTTTTTATACCAGTGTCGTGCTACAGCGCACACTTCTTAATAGGGATGTACCCACTAACAGGAATGCCTTTGACCTTGTAAAGTCTATTGGTCTAGTACCCACCCAGAGTACCACCAGAATGGTTGTGAGCTCGACTGTCCACCTAGAGATCTATATGGAATATCTTAAGAAGATATTGTCTGTAAACTATCTGAGGGAGTGCATATAGAGTCCCTTCTTTATTTCGCCTGGTCGTGTTTTATGTAATTAACACCACAGTTGGAACAATATAAATTTTACTGTTGTAGCGGCATAAAGTAATTACATTAAATTAGTTATTTAACTCATTATAAATTATTTTTATGTTTTTCATATTTGGCGGTAAAAAGGTGATGTGTCACAGACTATATCCTTTTTCCCACATCTCGTGCGTTCCGGCTTACGCATAATAAAACGCCACATAAGATAAGATAAGACATCATTAAGTCAAGTAAATATGTGAAGAAATACAACATTAGTAAATTAAGTTATTACATGACTTTGTAAAGGCTATCAAGAGGATTTTGGAAAAAGTGTTTTCTTTGAATCAACTTAATTAAAAATCTACAAAACTAGATCACAATGATAAATTAATATAGGTACTAAATTAATAAATAATTTGACATTATAATATTTGATAGGTATTTAAAATACCAACATTCTTTTTATAGGCGGTATGGGTGAATTAGCTCGCCGTTTCAGTTTTGGAAAAATAAAAACTGTAACATTACAAATGTCGGATGTGTGTTGTGTGATTCTTATTGTTTATATTCAGTAAATGAAAAATTTATTCAGTACCGAATAAAATGCGACATCTTTTAATCGTTCATGGATATCTTACATTATAAGTTATTATTGAAACGAATTGTAAAATAATGTAATTGATGAAATCCAAGAATTTCTTAAAATGTGAATATTTTTCGTATTTGGCGTAGTGCCATAGTATAAACAGCAAATTTATCAGAAATAGGCACGATGAAGTGGTTTGAGATTTTCATTATGTCGTTGCTATGCGCAAACGGGGTGCTCTCATACTGTCCCTCATTGTGTGTATGCAAAAGTAATAAGGCAGGCGAGGGGGCATCAGCGGAACCACTGCCGGGAGAACTCAAGCTCAAGTGCGGTGGAAGTCCAGCACCGATAACTGAACTTAAGGAAATCGACCTGAGCAAGCTGTGGACCATTGTAGTTAGTCTGTATGTGTCAAAAGTATTGTTTACAATCTTAATCAATTTGGTTCAAATCTATAAATTCAGTAAAATATATTTGTTACAGTAATTTATCCGGCAATGCTATTTCTACATTGTCGAGAGAGCTGTACTTGCCAAATCTACAGAAACTGTGAGTTGATAATGTCTATTTAATGCTCTTTGAACACAAATAAACTACTGTAATTTATGAATGTATCAAGGTTCTAGTTTAATTGAATTATATTGAAATTATATTGAATTATATTATTAAATACTGTGGATTATTTAGAATATGATATTAATTGAATACTTTAATTAATTAGAAAATAATGAGTGGTTAGCTTCCATAGCAGAGGTATATTATTGGTACATTATTGAAAATTCAGAATTTACTAGACATACATTCATTGATAGCACTTGTACTACATATATGTTATGTATAATATATATGTATGTGTATATTATATAATTATGACTTAAAATCATACTGCTTGTCATCATGGTTATGACTGTATTGAATGCACACAGGTAGCTAATTATTCTAGTTACTTATACTTGCATTAGAAATTAACTATAATGAAATGGCTAGCTCTCTTTGTGATATTGGTCTACTATATTGGTATTATTATGATACTGAATACTTTGATAATATTATAAAGAGGAAAGATTTGTTTGTTTGTTTGTTTCGAATAGGCTCCGAAACTACTGGACCGATTTGAAAAATTCTTTTTCCATTAGAAGCCGACATTATCCCTAATGAACATAGGCTACTTTTTTAATTTTTTATTTTATTTTTATTTTTTTGTTTCATGTGTGTTTTAATGTTTCCGAAGCGAAACGAGGGCGGGTCGCTAGTACTGAATACTTTGATATTACTAGAGTCTACCTTATATAAACTGTATAAAGAAATTCTGCCAATGTGTCATAATGTATTATGAGGCAGATTACAGTTTTATAGAGTAAACTGGCCAAGCTTAAAGCTCATGACTAATCAATAATTGAAAGAACGAAAATTAATGTACATAAACTAACCCATTAATTGTACTATAATATTTGATGTTCACAGAGATTTAAGCAGAAACCAGATATCATTAATAGAATCGGATGCATTTTACAATATGACAGCTTTGCAAAAGTTAGACCTATCGCAGAACCACATCAGTAATGTGTACAAGGAAATGTTTAAAAGCTTAATCAATTTAGAGAGATTGATCCTGGCACAGAATCAGATATCTGTAATGGCATCGGGCACTTTTGATTATCTAGTTGCATTGAAGCATTTGTGAGTACTCTTTGATTTTGCTTACATTGTTAAATATATTATTGACTGTTAATCCACTTACATTGTTATTGAATTACATTGTAATTGAAAGAATTAAATATGTAATAAATTCCCCTCCACTGTGTTTCCGAGCCCTATGACATATCCTTCTTTAAACGGGGCTTGCGGAGTGTACTCAATGATAAGCAGCAGCTTGGCTCTGACCCTGGCATTGCTGACATCAATGAGCCACGGTAACCACTTACCATCAGGTGGGCTGTGTGCTCGTCTGCCTACAAAGGCCATAAAAAGCAACAAATATCTTACTTAACTCTATAATTACTTAGAAGATACATCTAAGTGAAGTTAGGTAACACATCTTTTGTTCTTATTTTGAGTCCCTATTGGATATATTGTGTAGTGGTATCCCGTAGTGCCTCTGTCATAAGGTCCTAAGACTGATGTTGAGGAAGATGTATGGTTATTAAAAGAGGCGTACCCTATGATCTGACATGTTTACATCATGCCCAGGTCTCTGGACCTAACAGTCATCTGATGAGAATCAATTATCTGGTCCATTTTGAAAGAACATTGTACAATATACAAGTGAAATGTCAATCACTGGATTCACTAAACTGAACATCAGATTGTAATTTCTATGGGCTGTGAGCTAATCTGCTGATTTAGATCGGTTAGGTGGTGATAATAAAAAGCATTAGTCATAAAGCATTAAATCATTATATCTATGTAATTTATTATTTAATTCTAAATAATAAAAATAAAAAAAACATGAAAGCGTCCATCTTATTTCAGAGACATAACAGATAATCCTCTTGTTTGCAACTGTGACTTACTTTGGGTGAGTGACTGGGTACGAATCACCAGGGTAAAACTTGTGGGTAATCCAAAATGTGCCTTCCCCGAGCACAAGACAAATACAACTATAAAAAAACTGAAGATATCATTAGATTTAAAAGCCTGCAGTAATGCTTTACCCATGAGTTCATTGATCGCCAAGCCGAGCCACGATCAAGTAGTTTTCGAAGGGGATTCCTTGGTCTTGACTTGCAATGCACCATTCGCATCAGGCCTAATTAAATATACAGTTAAATGGGTGCACCCATTGCTTGAAATATGTGATGTTAATGTTACTTACACTGACATACAAGAGGAAGCAGTTGCTGAGACCACAATATATTTCTCAAATATAACCAACCATCATGCAGGAAACTGGACATGCATGTATAGTGACCAAAACAATGTGTCCCACAACTACACCATAAATGTTTATGTGATATCAAATTCGACACAGTTCTGTGAGATTAAGCACACAATGACAAATAAAGGATTATACTCATGGCCGCAGCTACTATTGAACCGCACATCTTCAGTACCGTGCCGCAGTGGAGAAGGCATGGCACACAGATATTGCCATGGGAACGGTACTTGGGGTGAAGTGGACACATCCGAATGTGCATACATAAGTAATGTGACGAAATTGCTTCAGCAGTTTGCACTGTTGAATGTGAGTTTAGTTCAGTATTCAGCGGTAAATGCTACGGAAAGACTGGCAATGTTGATACAGGAGAAGACATATCCTTTGGCTGAGATTACAGACCCAGATGATGTTATGTTCATAGCACGAGCAATTAGGAATTACATGCAGTATATTGCTGAAGAAAGAGATCTGGGTATGCATTGGTCCATATTTGTTATAACCATTTAATCTGACATGTAATTCCAAACTATATTATAATATATATTTTGGATTTGAGATCAATTCAGCATAAAAATATAGAAAGGTTCAGGAGAAATATTGTAGTTCAGTAACATTGTACAGTTTCTAACTAATAGCATAAGTTATACACAAATATATTGGTGTTTAAATAAGATACACTCTAGAGAATTTTTAGTCATAATGAAATTGGCAATGTCAGGACAGCTAACCTACCGTAGGTCTGACATTGCCAATTTCTAATGTCTGATAGTATTCAAAGGAGATAAATAGTTGTAGTACTATTTTCTGGAGGCTGAAATCATACAACGATTCCTTTTATATAAGATATAGTAAAAGCCCTTGAGACTTTGAATAGTTTTAATAAATTTTATTAACTTCATTTAAAGGTTCAGCATTATTAGATGTGATAAGTGCAGTAATGAACATATCAATGCCAGTTCTCGCTAAAGCCGAGACCAAGTACGAAGCATGCACAGACATGATGAATGCTGCCGAGGATATATCCGCTTATATAAACAATGTTCACGGACAAAAGGTAATCATTGACTTAGAGACTGATAGATCTCATAATATAGTGGTAATTTCCCAATTCATTGGGAATTAGGGCTGTGTCATTTTTCATAGTGGTAGCATGAAGGACAGTGGCTGGTTTGTGAGGGATGATACTGCTTCTGCTGCCAATAGGTCCTACCTAACTTTTTAGGATAATCTCATTAACATTGTCTTGTATTTGTTATATAATAATATATAAATTGTTTCGCAGTCAAATTTAGCAATAGAACGTTTTCGAGTGAGCGAGGGCTTCGGTGGAGCGACATGCGTGTGGTACAGCGGGGGCGAAGTCCGAGGGGCAGAGCCTCCGAGACTGCACTGCACGGCCACCAACAGAACCGTTGCGCCCCTGTTCACACTATCCGACACGCTCATACATGCAACTGTGCAGGTACTCGTTGACCAACTGTGTGCTCAATGCGAGTTTTTTAACGTTCTCGATCGCGTAAAAGTTAACTCAAATTTGTATGGAGTTGGAACAGCGCCCCTAGCGGCAAACGTAGGCAAACTATCTTTTACGCTATCGAAAACGTTAAAAACTCGCACTAAGCACACTGATAGCTCATCGACACATTAGTATTTCTCTATCTTCCGGCTGTCATCTGGCTGATAATAACGCGCAAATCATATTTTTTGTTAGTTTCTATCTGAGGTAAAAGTTGAATATAGCTCATTCTATACTCATTTATGAACGTGTCACATGTCTGAATCTATGGATTTCGAACTGAATGTGAAATTGGGACAAGCTTTCGTTTTATCGATTTCTATGAAAACGCCACATGTAAAAAAGTGACAGTGTTTTTAATTTCAATGGTAAAATGATATTCGTTATGGACTATTAAAATCTGATGTTATTTCGTCACATAAAGTTCTACTTGCTAATAAGAATGCATTATTTTCAGATACCCCAATCTCTGATCTTCAGCACGACAGAATCTGGTGCCCTCGTTCAGATGAAGCCTTCGGACCTGGTGGTGTCGGTGTACGAGCACGCGGCGCTGTTCCCGCTGCTGCCGACCCTGGACGACGACGCCACGCTCACGGGCCACCGGTCCAAGGACTATTACGGCAGGAGCACCAAGCGGGAGGACATGAACATCGAGATCACCTCACCGGTTGTCGGATTTCAACTCAGTAATTTAATAAGTTCCTTTTACTAAACATGTTGTACCCTAGTTTGTTCTGCTGTTATGGCACGGCTGTTAATTTCTACAACAGTTATTTTTAATCGTTTTTTTTAAATCGGTGACTCATGCCACAAGGCTGGTCGCCGAATACGAATTTTAGGTCGCGGACGCATCCTCCCGTTGCCTTCCCATGTCACCTCTCTCGCCCTAAACGTAGTAAACATGTGGTACATATTCTTATGTAATACATTCGTGATTTCAAGTCAGGGCTGTACCGAACTGAACACCAGATGGACCGTGTTTTGTTCACGCATTAATGCGATAAAAATGTTTCAAGGTCGACGATTAACTTTATTTCTCGGCTCTAATAATCACACAAAACCGTCTCTTTTCATTGTAGATGAACAGAGTCGAAAGAAATAAAATAAAGTTTGTGTACGTTGTGTGTGCAGAGGGTACGGAGTGGTCGGGCGAGCTAGTGGAGCCAGTACTGGCGGGAGTGCGCGCTCGGCCTGGCGCTCGCACGCACGTCGCGCTCTGGGACGCGCACACTCGCCACTGGACGCTCAACCACACAGGTACGGCGTAGTACCCGGCTGTACGCGACTGTGCGCGACTGTACGCGACTGTAAGCGATTGTACGCGACTGTACGCAACTGTCCACGATTGTACGTGACTATACGTGAAATGACGTTTATGTTCGTTTCTTTGCACACCAAATTAATAGGATCTGGCAGGAGGCAAATTAATAGGAGAACTGGTAGTTTGTTTGACTTGGTTCATATTCATGGTTGGATAAGTGCCAACCAGCCCTCAATTACCAACGATAGATTAAACCGCCAGAATATCTGTAATAATGTTATCAAGCATTATTAAAAAGAAACCTTAAGCGGCCAGCGGCGGTTTGTATTGTTGATGCCCCTGAGCAACGGCTATCGTTTACAATTAGGTCAGAAAAATATTAGTTACTGTTCACACCACTGATACAGTATAGATTCTGACAAAAAACCTTTTTAACTTATTTTGTTTAAGTAAATCGTGTACTATTTTCAGATTGTCGCATATCGCACGCAGTGTCGGAGATGGTGATCATAAGCTGCAGCCGGCTGGCGCGCGTGGGGCTGGTGCAGAACGTGGAGACCGGCATCTACGGCGCCCGCACGGACGGCGCGCGCTTCAAGGTGTCGCACCCCGCCGTGTACGTGGGCAGTCTGCTGCTGGGCGGCTGCCTCGCCTGCGCCGCCATCACCTACGCCACGTGCCACGCCGACATACTGATGCCGAACAAAACCAAGCACGCCCTCGTCAACACCTGGGTGGCCATCTGTCTGCTTTGCTTCATGTACACCCTCGGCATCTACCAGACCGAGAACGTCAGGCTGTGCCAAGCGCTGGGCCTGCTCATACACTACCTGTCGCTGTGCTGCTTGCTGTGGATGTGCGTGTCGGCCAGCAACATGTACAAGTGGGTGACGCGGGCCGACGGGCCGCCACGGACGCCTGAGGACGAGCTACCGCCGGACGTACCCGCGCACAAGCCCATACTGGGACTGTACCTGGTCGGCTGGGGCATAGCGCTCATAGTCTGCGGCATCTCCGGAGCCGTCAACATCAAGGACTACGCCGGCTACTCGCAGTGCTTCCTCAGCACGGCCCCGGCGCTGAGCGCGCTGTTCGTGCCCGGCGGCATCCTGTTGATGTTCCTGCTGGTGCTGTTCGCGCTCATACGCTGCACCATCCGGAACATGAACGTGCAGCTGTCGGAGGGCACGCAGGCCACCGAGAACGTCGACCTGGAGATGTGGGAGCCGCAGGTGCACGACCGCGCGGAGAGGAGGAGTGTGAAGTCGGCGCCGGACTCGGAGAGCGAGGACGCGGAGCACTCGCCCATCGTGCAGCTGCGGGCGCACGTGATCGTGGCGTGTCTGTACGTGGCGGTGTGGGCGTGCGGGGCCGTGGCCGTGTACCGGCCGCTGCCCGCCTACCTGCCGTACCAGGAGGATATCTGCAGCATCGTGTACGCCGTGTGCGCCACCGTGCTCGGCACCTTCGTGCTGTTCTTCTACGGCATAGCGCGCAGTGACGTCAGGGCGCAGTGGGCACTCGTGCATTGCTATTTTCAAAAAAGTAAACAGTGCTGCAGAAACAGGAGCGTGTTCGACGCGCAGCGCAACGTGCCCGCAGATCCCTCCGGAGCCGCCGCCCCTGCGCCCCTGCCGAACGACAACCGGTCGCGGTCCGGCAGCCGGAGCTCCGGCAGGACCAACCCCAAGACCAACAACGGCGGCACGTACAAGGCGGGCGCTGAACTCAACGGGCAGACTCTACACAAGGACGTGTTGAAGAACACGAATGGAAAAACTCCGAACATAAACCTGGTCGTGTTGCACCGCCAACAGTACCGGTCCAACAACTCCATGCTCACGTACCCCGACGCCAGCACCGTGGCCCCCGATATATTCTACAACCCCAACCAGATGAATGTCGCCAAGAAGTTCTTCAAGAAGCAACGGCAGAACATGAAGAGGAACTGCCTTGAGTTGCCGACGAGAAATGACTACGACAACGACTCGCACTTCTCGCTGCCGCTGCCCACTAAGGAGGCGTACAGCGGGATGGCTAACATAATCAACTCTGGGTCCAAGGTCAACAATACGAACATACACGTTGAGCGATCCAACAACGGCATCAAGGAGACCCGCAACGTCGCCAACCCGAACCTTCTGGAAGACGAACACAAGGACTACAAAAGCTACACGAACGATAAGAAGACTTGGAATAAAAACGAAGATCCGAAGACGGACAGAAGCCGAGTGATGAATATTTATACCAATGTGCCAGAGACTCAAGTGCCGCAGCATCAGGTCATCAAAGCGAACGCGCCCAGCAACCTCAATGCTCAGCGGAGCAGCGTATCGGAGGAGTGCCTGCAGAGTCACGCCGACCGCCCGGAGATGAGGACCATATCGCAGCAGTGCAGTCTGGAGTACAGCTCGGCGTCGGAGATAGCGATGCCGCATACCTGCTCCGACCAAACCTTGAACACGCACTCGGAAATGACGTCACTGCAGGAAACGCACAGCGCTTTGTGCTCCACTAACGAGATCACCGACACGGAGAGCTTCGGCCAGTACATAGATTACATGCAGCCCAACAAGGGCCAAGATGGGAAGGAGAACAAGGACAAGTCGCTGCAGGACATATCGGAGGAATGCACCATGAATAGCGACGACGCTGCTCGCTCCGGGAGTCCGCAGCATCCGGACGCCGGGGAACTCGACAATCTGCTTCAGGATCCAGAGCTAGGGTCGAAAGATAAACTGGACGACGACAAAGACACGTTTTTCTTGGCGAAAACTACGTACGACTTCGAAACGTGTAGCACGAACGCGAGCGAGCAGGGCTTCGAGAACGACAGTGACATTTACTGTCCCAACTACCAGATGTCCGAAGTGAGCATACGGAGCCACGGCCTGTACGCGCCCTCCCCCTCGTCCATGTGCCCAAACGAAATAAGCTTCAGCACCGAGGACGTTTCGAACATAGAGAACCAGTACGTCAACTACGACCCCGGATGGCGGAAAACGATAAAGAGCAATCCGAAATTAGGGAAGTACGTGCCCACTCCCGCGCTGAGCTGTCCCGACGTCAACAGGGACAGCAGCCCGGTGTCGTTCGCGAGCGAGATAGATGAACTGTACACTCAGATCACGAGTAGAGAGCGAGACAAGGACAGAACTAGTCGGAAGGACACCTGTTTAGATGTGACTTTGAACAGTGACGTCACGCTGCGGCCTGACAGTGACAGTTGTGCGAGCGAGGGCGAAGGTCGCGGGGAAACCGCCCTGTGATCTCTCGGTGTTCAGTGAAGGCATTTGTGATGAAGTGATGTAACCGCAAACATTTAAAAGTGTTAAACGAATTCTCTATTCAGCTCTTACAAGTTATCAATGTGAGGAGTTGATCGCACTTATACAAGTGTTCAGACGGCCTTACTAGTAGCTCATTTCAAACTAAATTTTGTAGTTTAATTTTCTAGTTTTAAGTTTTGTAAATTGTGTATATTTATTTAAGATTTCCTAAACAAACGAAGTCTGATGAAAACATTTTTTCTATCGTCCGCGTGTCGAGTATTATCACTTAGTTTAAGAGTCAACAGATGTGCCAAATTGTTGTCGTTTGTTTCATCATTTTATCGATAAATTGTAACGATTATCGATACCTTAACGACCGGATCGACCCGACCGCCTCACCTCTAGTCCTAACGGGATATAAGACTTAGTTATATTAACTCCACTAAAACTATTAAGGCGTGTTTACACGAGAAGACGAATGCTTGACGGTGAACTTTGGTGTGGCCATATGACAACCAGTTTTTACATTTGTTGAAAGATTTGTGGTAGTTAAGCGAAATCGTTCAACGATTTTTTTATTGAAAAAGAGCATTTTTACTGTAAGTATTGTTAATGAAAAAAAAAATTTGCTTATGGTCGATAAGGCTTTTTGATGTGACGTCACCAGTGACCATATTCTCGACGTCATGATGACGTCACATGTTCCAGTGTACCGTCAAGCACGCTCGTACTTTTTATGGCTTATCGAAAATTATAAGAAACTTGTGTTTTCCATTGTGTGTGCCTATGCTAAATATTATTTTGGCCTATTAATTATTGAAATAATTTTAGCGATATATTCGAGTTGATTCATTACAAAAAAAATATAAAAATCGATCATTATTATTTGACTTGCGATTTATGATGCATATGCGTTAGTGGCCTTTTATAATCAGGATCACAGTTCCGACGGAGGTCGAAACTGGTAATATTATCAACATCCACATATTCATACAAAATTTGGCTCGTTAAAGAAAAAAATTGTTCGTAAATCTTAAAAATGTGGTTTTTATATCAATATTCAATCAATATCGAGCAGTGAATGCTACCTTTAAAATCTTTGTCCTTGCACTAAGTTGATACTTTTTTCTTTTAAAATCCCATATGGAAATGAGTTTAAAATTTTTCGAATTCGGCAGCTCGACAATAACATTTTTATTGATCACTGACGTTCTATCGATTTAATATTCTGTTCCGCATATGGATGATAAAATAAAAGGAATAGAATCTCAAATGAAATTGTGAATGGCGAATACAATGATGTAATAGTAGTTTTGTGATTATGTATTAGAAAAAAAAAACAGCACAAATATTTTCATGTATCAAATTAATATTTATATACATATACACAATATTAGTAGACGAATGCAATCTTAATAGAAAACGATGGAGCTATTGTGATATACAGATCTTCCATTTTAATTAAATATACATTCGGAATACCGCGAGATGTATATTAACTTTAGTTATATATTTTAGTGTAAATTAACACTAGATACGAGTTAAAATATGGGACGTTTTTTTTGGAGCCGCGTTTTTCATCTGTTCTCGCAAATAAGGTCTGAGACTATATCGAGCGTAATGAATTATCGAGATACTTTGCGATAAGGTCAGCGCGGTATAAGAGTAACGATTTATAACACGTGTTTTTTAATCACATATCGCACATACGGTACGATATCGTCACTTATGCAATTTTATGTAATTTTTCATGAGAAACGTTGGAAAATTCAACATTTTATATAGTTCTGCTAGACTATAGAAATAAAATAATATTTAAACTACAACTTTAAACTAAATCAGTAAAAGCAAACATCTCTCGCGTCTCTTTAATAACTATTAACAAATGTATTTTCTAATAATCAGTTCAGTGTTAACAAAAATTGTATAAGTGACTTTATAGAACCGTATGTGCGATATATGTAGTCTCTTAGTTGAATAATGGCTGTTTTGCCTTCAAATAGAACGCATACTTCTTAGTCGTTTGCAGTCTTGGCAGAGTGGTGGTCATCAGTTCGGGTGATGGTGCGCTTCACAAGACGCCACTACTGCTCGCGTGTAGCTGCCCTTGTGCACTCGTTAACGGGTCCTTTTACAGCTGCCTTAATTTGGTCGGTCCATCGTAACGGTCCGCCGCGCGGTCTTATACCCTCAATAATGCCACATATTACTGCTTCATAAATAGTCAGGGTGGTGGTACCTACCCTGGTGCGCTCACGCTTTACCAGCAATAAACCTAATTTACCCGACAAGCAGCCAGTGGTTAGGCCACGCAATTATGTAGACCTCTTAATATAGACCCGTACATCTCACGGTATTTCACATGTAAAAGTGTTTTTGTAAGTGTCTTCATTAGTGCAGTAACCAAAAAATAATATGGACTTTAACAACGAAAAAAAAAACACCCTTATATAGCATACGGAACTAACAACACTTTTTTTTTATTCTATTGGTACTGGTCGGGATATTAAAGCGAAATTATAAAATTACTGTTTTGTCAACGGTACCTGATGCGAATACTTTTGCAATATTTGTTAAAATTAATCGGACATCTTGAAGTCTAAAGAATGACGTTTAAAGGTTCCGTTACATTCAAATAATGAAAGCGTATAATTAAAATTAGTCTTAAAAAGCTTTATCAAAGTTTAATGGGCTGGAGTAACTTTTAAGTCGACCGAGTTTCTTCCATCTGATTGTAACGACACGTAACATGTAACAGTAGAAAAAAAATTTGTAGAAAATTGAAAAATATATCATGTTTATGTACATAATATTATTATTATTGTAATTGATAGAGTGAACAAAAAATTTTATCGAGAGAGGTTAGGCTTTTTGTGGGCATTTTGCGTAATAAAAGAGGCATTTGGCAATGTGTTTTATTTCGTTATTATTTACATTATAATTTTATAATATCCTATGTACGAGGAAATCGAAGATATGGCACAATATTGGTCACCACTAGTACATTTTTACTAACCCGGTGGTAACTCTATATAGTTACAAAGATTACATACCTATAAATCCATAATTGAGACCCGCTACATAACAATATATAATCTGTGGTAAAATTAAAATTACCGCCAAAAGAAGAAGCGAACATATTATCTGTATAAAGTTTTTCCGCGAATTATTAATCACACGTGTTGAAAGTTAACTGCCAACCGTTTCTGAGCACGTTCGTGAGTTCCACCACGTTCTACGAACCCAAACAGCTGAAGTTAATGCACGTTGTCTTCCTGTCTCTCACCGCACAGATCTCCTAACGAAGACATACTGTACACAGCCCACTCAACCGAACGAGGAGACCGTGGATTTTCGCAGACAGTTTTTTTTTATACGGGAATTAGTTTGTTCTTTACGAATTATTTTAAACTTTCACGGTTACTTATAGCACACACTGTTATGGCGCCGAACAACCCGTTTTATAACACTATGTATAAAGGTAGGATGAAAGGTGAATAATCAAGATATTTATTTATATTTGAAGCGAATCGAAGTTTGATTACAAAGACCTAACTCGAGATTTTACTGGATCTTCTGAAAACGATTCTCAATACGCTCGCCAGACAATCCTGTTTGATTCAAATATCACGATAATTCTAGTGGTTACCGTTAAAGGTTTAAGCGACATAAAACAAAAATACTTCATCAGCTATTATAGTATAGGGTAAATTTGATTGAAGTTCAATTAAAAACATCGAATTGTTGATGCTAATCTATACATAAAAATAAAATTGGAGTGTCCATGTAATATTGAAATAACCGCTTTTTACTACATGCATATGAATATATATATGGTACATACACCAAAATAACATTTTTTACAATTTTTGTCTGTCTGTCTGTTTGTTCCGGCTAATCTCTGGAACGGCTGGACCGATTTTGACGGGACTTTCACTGACAAGTAGCTAACGATATAAGGAGTAACTAAGGCTACTTTTTTTAGACTAGCTTTGCCCCGCGGCGTCACCCGCGGGTATGACGGGACACAACGTCGCGGGACTCAGCTATTAATAATAAAATTTAATGTGTCCGAAGCCAAGCGAGGGCGGGTCGCTAGTACCAAATAAAACAGAATTTTAATTACATACAAAGAAAAAAAATGTCGCGGATTAAGCGAAATGTCTCTTAAACCTAATAGCTTTTCGCCCCTTGATATCATTTCGTATAGCAGTTTCTACATATTTCTTGTCTTAATAATTTTTATACACAATTTTTTGTTTATTTTTAAAATCGAATACAATACTTAATGGCGTATATTCTGAAACTTCAGTTAGGGCTTAGTACTCAAACAGTGAAATGCCTAATGTAAAGATTTTAAATAAATCACAATATAAATTCAATACAGCCGCAAACCTTGGCTAATAAATACAATATAAAGTTACTTAATGCATTTATTTATTTTTATTAGGAACTTATTATATAGTTAAAAATATATAAATTCGTTAGAAGTTATGGACTAAACTTATAAAGAATATATAAAAATGGTATAAACTAATCTATTTTATTGTAAACTAATTAAGAGAATTGAGATTTTAGACACTGGGCAGTAAGCGTAGCGCATAGATCTTGTTTAGAAATGTCCGTCCGCGAAACAAGATTCTTGTTGAAATTCGTATGTGGGAACTAATTTATAGCTAATTTTGTGTTGAGTGGGCACCACAGCCCATAGACACTTCATCTAGAGATATGAGATGTATCTATGATTCCATGTATCGCAGAACTAGAACGCAAAAGGGCTTTGGTGTGGTATTGAAAGGGACGGCTGTTCCGACTCTGGCAAGACTCACCGCCACACGCGTTATGCACACGTACCAACAGTATTTTTCATACCCGATCCTGTGGATCGAATGGTAAGCAGTCGACGTCGCCCTAAGCACGTCGTAACGGATTCTCCCGATCCATTAACGGTGCTTTTAGGTACCTCAAGCACCGGTCACCGAACCCGTCGCTTGCGACCAAGGGCTCGACGAGTAAATTAACTCATAGACACAGCCCACCGAGTTTCTCGCCGGATCTTCTCAGTGGGTTGCGTTTCTGATCTGGTGGTAGATTCTGCGAAGCACTACTCTTGGTAGGGCCAGTTTTAGCAACACTCCGGTTAGAGCCCCGTGAGCTCACCTACACGTCAAGGTGAAGCTGAAGTAGCTTCTCAAGGCTATTAATCAGCATAGGTAGGAAAAACACTGCTTTAAAGAGACCAAATTTCTACTTATGGTTATACGTACAATATGACTAAAAACTTAAATTGAACAGGTCTTAAAAATTAAAAACGCCTGTGAACGGGTCTTAAAATTTGTGAATGTGTAAACGCAATGCCTTATTAATTGATAGATAGTCTTGTTGAGTATAGTACTGACTGCGGCGCCATATTGCATTCAACTGTTTTCCTTCCACATTACGCGGCGCAATCAAAACAAGCATACAGAGCTGCGCGAAATCATAGCATCTCGCTCTTTGCGGCTCCTTGTCTCGCTCACACCCTGCACTGTGAGACGTTTGACAAATTTGCGTGATACCTTAGTTCGCTACAGCCTGTGACTTTCTGGTGGAAGTGGCTGCCGGTATGCTTGCTGCCCGAAATCTAATCTCAATCCTATTCTTAATAATAATAATAAGCCAATAGCTTCACTTTCTCGTAAAAATCGTAAAAAAATTTAACATCAATTGCAAAGTTTGCAGTAATAAAAGGTATTTGAATTATTAAAAAAGGAGAGATTCAAAAATCTCCAATAAAAAAATAATTGTGATGATGCGTGCGAAACGATTATGAAAATTCAAATCTAAATCAATATCACTACATAAAAGCCCCAAGAGGTCAACATTATTTTAATTCATTTTTTTAAAAACATTGATATCATTTGGCAAAACGAGTTTGAATTTCGATTATTTGAAATATAGCTTACACTATCAAACTATTAAAAAAAAAAAACTAAAACAATGAACAATGTTGGAATTTGACAATATTACCCGATTATTTTGATAAGTTAAAAGGCTTTAATTTTTTTGGATTAAACTCTAAAGATACATACTAGGAACATACAGTTGCTTTTAATTTGAATGTAATACCCTTAATCTAAAATATCAACTATAATCCGGCACACAGACTTTATATTTTGTGAAGGTAAATGAAACTCATTTACATAATCCTTTAATGAACTTGATGTTTGTTTCTATTGACAAGCAGTCATTACGAAGTGACAGCTGACAGATGCACGGCGTGCGGCGGCAACACGAGCCTCGCGCGTTCGGCCACCGCTCCCAGGACGCGACCCATTAGACTCTTAGGGACTTCTTCTGGATTCGATTTGATCGTGTCCTTTTCTATAGGAATATTAGAAACATAATTATAAAATAAACGAATTAATAAAAATAAAAATAAAAATTAAGCTATTGCATAGCTTTGATCGCGGGCTTTGAGCGCGGCGACCGAATCAAGAAATTCCGTAACGAAAATAAAACCTAACACCCCCACTCCGCCTACCTGTAGCTCGCGTTCAACACATTCACACGTTGCGCTTGTGTAGTGTTTGTGAATAAGCGCGCGGCGTGACGTCGCACTGCATGCGCATCATGATAAGTCTGCCCATCTCTCTCTCACGCGATCTATTCTCTAAATATTAGCCTATCCATTAAGTACATGTATTTTCTACATGGATACCAAGTTTCAAGTCAATCGGATGCATGGTTCAGTAGTTATAACGGAACATCCGTAAAAACCACTGTAGATTTATATATTAGTATAGATTTACTCACCTATCAGAAATTCGAGTAATAAACCGGGCAGGGCGGGGTGCAGATGAGGCAGCAGACGTAGGGCCGGTCGGGTGCAGTGTGCGGCACTTCTGACCAGCATGGCGGCGGAGTGTTGCTCCCCGATCAGCAGTGCCGCGGCGTCCACGCGGGCTTCAGACGATATCCGCCACCAAGCAGCGCCTGTAAACCACTTCGTTTCCATGGAAATGCATAGGTCTTTTGGTTTAAACGAGTAGACAAGTGCCCATCCCAATTACTCGGTGATGGATTTAGGTTTGATGCCACCCTAAGCCCTGTTTATAGCGCCGTCCTTAATATTAGATTTTTTAAATTTTAATTTTAATCCAATATATTCATTTTAAATACAAAATACTTTTATAATTTTTTTTTTATAAAAATCAATCTGAACTCATTTTCACAGGAGACTGTCTTTACCTTTTTTGATCTCTGAAATTTTGGCATTTTAAAAATAAATTGCCGCCACCTCAATACATGCCTGCCTTAGTCCGGGTCTCATGGGTCTAGGTGTAAATCCATCATTGCACTTGCTACTAAGCGTTTACTAAAAGAAATCAATGTCTTCGAAGTCTCAAAAGACCCTACTGTGGCGATAGCCATTACAGAACACAAGATGACAGATGCATGTATCTCGCTTACGAGATTTTTAAGATAAGCTTGCATATATACAAGTTCCGAACAACAACATTCGGACCGTCGGTCTACCAAGCACTTTTACTTCACTCGGTGGAAGAGCACTTAATAACGGGTGTGCCATGTTTCATTCAAAGCAATGAAAACTGCTAGTCATCTTGAGACAAAAGGTCGAAAACATTAACAGAAAAAAAACGATACCTCTTATATAATTGAGCGGTCCCCTCCAGTCGCGGGCCCGCGAGTTGAGCCAGCGTCCGTTTTCTCCCTCACACAGTTCGCCCTCCGCCAACCATTGCTCGGGAAAATAGGGCCACTGAAAGTTTTATATCTACTTGATCAAACCAAACGAACCATTCTGTGTGCTTAGTGCGAGTTTTGTAACGTTCTCGATAGGGTAAAAGTTAACTCAAGTTTGTATCGAATTGGAACGTTTGCCTACGTTTGCCTCTAGGGACACTGTTCCAACTGCATACAAATTTGAGTTATCTTTTACGTTATTGAGAAAGTTAAAAAACCCACACCAAACATACTGGACAACGAAGTCGAGGAGTGTGGCTGATTCATGGTATAAAATGAAGAATTCACCATCAAAAATATCACTTAACGAAGGCTGTATGCCGAAAGTATCATCGATAAGGCTATATTCGTAGTTAACTTTGTTTCGAAGACTATTCAGAGATACGTTCTCAGGATATAATTGGATACTGTTCTTTAAATGCCCAATGGTCGTTTTTATCCTTCTATTCTTTAGTTATTGCGAAATGTAATATAAAATGTTTTGGGTTTTTTTTTTTTTAAATAACACAACTCTACAAAAAAAATATCCGTTGTTTGTCCTAACGTTTATACTGGGTTTTTCTGGTTAATTATTCACAAAAACAAAAATAAAATACCTTTTTTGGTATAAAGCTTGCTTTTGTGATAGTTATAGTAATAATAATCATTTGAATTTTTTTTTATACATTTAATTTTTAATTAATTTTAATACTTTCAAAAAAACCGCGCTATGAGAGTGGAGTGCTTACGTTTACACAGTGCCACTAGATGGCACTCGAGTCATAAACAGCGATCAGATGTTTTTTTTTTTTTTTTTTTTTTTTTTTGCTTAATTNCGGAAACGCGACCCACTGAGAAGATCCGGCGAGAAACTCAGTGGGCTGTGTCTGAGAGTTAATTTACTCGTCGAGCCCTTCGTCGCAAGCGACGGGTTCGACGAGAACGGTGACCGGTGCTTGAAGTACCTAAAAGCACCGTTAGTGGATCGGGAGGATCCGAGATGACGTGTTTTGGGCGACGTCGACTGCTTTCCATTTTGTCCGCAGGATCGGGAATGTAGTTACCGGCGGCCACGATGAGAGGGTTCTCGTGTCGTGCCGCTTTATCGAAGTGGCGCATTGACGCCGACTGCATATACTTACTGGTGGACTCTAAGTCCAGGTCGTCATGGAGGTCGACGTTCCTGACGAACCACGGGGCTCCGACGGTTATCCTGCAAAAACGGGATTGAATGACTTGGAATGATTTTAAGTGTATGCGGGCCGCGTGAGCGAACACTACACTTGCATAGGTCATGACGGGGCGGATGTTTTGTACATGTTTTGTACAAGCCCAGAAAAACTTAAAATGTCACGAAAGTGTAAATACGATGTTGATGCATTTTGTTTCATATGTGGTAAATTTATTAAAGTTTGAGACGTGAAATACGAAGTTAAGACATCTCACGTTCTCTGTGAAGCCTATGAAGATGCTATGGATAAGGTCCTATGCTTTTGGATACTTGAAAAAGTTTTTTCCGAAGATAACGGAGGCATAGAATAAAGATGTTTGTTGGGCCGCAAATAAGACATATTTTCGCCGATGAAAAATTTCCAACGTTGCTAAATCGTACTCAAAAAGCAAGTTGGAACAGTTTTAAAGCAGTAGTTTCTGGATTTTTAGTAGAAATAACAAAGCTGAAAACTACGAACAGTTGGTTGAGGATATGCTTGAAAATTTTAAGCCCATGGGCTGCAGGATCTCATTAAAAGTACACATGCTGCATGCGTATTTGTATAAATTCAAAAACAACATGGGAGCGTATTCAGAAGAGCAAGGAGAACGTTTTCATCAGGACATCATGAACTTTGAACAACGTTATCAAGGCCAATACAATGAAAACATGATGGGCGACTATATTTGGGATTTAGTGAGAGAAAGTAGTTATGAACACAAAGAAAAAGTAAAAGCGTGGACTTTTAAATTATTTTTCACTTTTCTGTAAGTTAATTTAATAGTGAAACTTAATAAAAATAATAAACATTCATTTCAAGTTTTATTTTCAATAAAAAATTAAAATCAGAGATTTTGAAAAATATCGTTAAATCAGTCTCCTAAACACAAAAGCAAACTTTTTATGCCATGAATTTTTTTTTAGTCTAATTACGATCTAAAATATCGAAATTTTATGCTTTGCAATCAAAGTCAAATTTGGTGTTGACCAGTGTAATTAATAATAGATTGAAGCAGTCAGTTTTAATCCTGCACCCATAGCATTCATGTACACATGCAAATACCCTACTTCTTTAATTTTGCGATTGTTCACATTTCCTTTTAGATCAGATTTACATACATAATCCGTAATTAGTTATTTATTGGACGCGATTTAGGACGTGGTTATCGAAATAACATGTTACCTACACTGAATTTTTTGTATAGCGGTGAACTTTGCTAGATGCTAGATAGGTCTATTTAATATAAAAATCTAAGACAAAGCAGTTAAGAATCGATTATCTCTTTTGTCGACAAATTTTTCCAATGTCGAATTTAGATTATTCAGCAAACCCTAATAATTATGAATTGTCGTACGAAGAAGCACAGTGCAGTAAAAGGTCAATCAATGCCTTATGAGATTTATTTTAAAATTTATATTAAATTGTTTCCGTATGCAACGTAAATAATTGTTTAATGAATAATAAAGGATGTCAGTATTTAGGCTTTAATGTCTTATTGACTCATTTCTATTGGAAATAGTAACATGTTATTAATGAAAGAATTTCTCGTAATTATGACAATTTCATTGAATTTCGGACACATCGCTCTTGGGAGATGATAGCTTAAAAATTAAATATTATTTTTATTACTCATGTATAAAATGATACATTAATAAATTCTAACAAAATAATGCTAGTCTATCACCGAAACCTTAATACGACTCGATTAATGTTGATTTTTTTTTTGAGATTATTTGGGAGCACCTGTCTTAAATTTTTCCATTACCTAAAGCTACTTGCTTTCAGACTACGCTGTACTATATATACTACAGTATAGTATAGCAAGCAGCCTAAATTATCCATTAATATATAGAACAGTAGGTACAGTGTGAATGTGTCCATAACAATGTATGGGGTACGATATTGTTGTGCTATGAGCTATATAGTATATGCTATTTTATTTAGCGTAGTCTGAAAGCGGCCTAATACCTAGTAGTATCTAGTAATCGTTTCTATTATTTTGCGTAAGCCCACTGAGTTTCTCGCCGAATCTTCTCAGTGGGTCGCGTTTCCGATCCGGTGGTAGATTCTGCGAAGCACGGCTCTTGCTAGGGTTCGTGTTAGCACCCTCTCGACCGGGTATCCGTAAATGGATTCCCCAGCGTTAAAAAAAAAAAAAAAGGGTTTGTGTTNTTACCCCTCTCGACCGGGTATCCGTAAATGGATTCCCCAGCGTTAAAAAAAAAAAAAAAGGGTTTGTGTTAGCAACGTCGTCAGGTCTGAGCCCCGTGAGCTCACCTACTAGTTAAGGTTACGCTGGAATAGCCTCTCAAGGAGCTTAGGTAGGAAAAAAAAATATTATTTTGCTCTCGAGAACGATTTCTCATTCCTAATAATAATTATAATTACTGATCCCGCTATTACTTTTATCTTCTCATAAATTACGAGTGCCATAATTATGTCAGGTCTTTGTCTCGATATCTCAGTGAGTCAATTAAATCATTCGTAACGAGTCCTTAGAGGGTCCAACGAGGACTTTAGACTCTAATAAATCTCATAATGAATTAACAGTTATTTAATGGTCAAAGCTTCTGAGTGATTGGATTGCTCTCTCATTTAATGTGTATTTTTAGGGCATTCGCTCCGTAATCTCACATTGAAACTCCTGTGTTGCCAAGTATCACAGAAAAAGGTTAACGTGTGTGCTTAGTTTGAGTTTGTTAACGTTCTCGATCGCGTAAAAGTTAACTCATTTTTGTATGGAGTTCGAGCAGCGCCCCTAGCGGAAAATGAAGCGAACTTGTTCCAACTCCATACAAATTTGAACTATCTTTTAGGCGATCGAAAAGTTAAAAAACTCGCACTAAACACACTGGGCTCAGGTTAGCCGGGTAAATGTTAACTCAACTTGGGAACCGCAACAGAGTTCGAAGTGGAAATTTAAGGTACTGATTCCCTCCCCGTTAAGAGGTATAAAACAAAATACGAAATTTGTCTGAAATATACTAGGCTGCACTAAAAGTATCGGGAATGGAATATTTCCACTGTTCCTGTCATATTAAAATCTTTTTAATTGAAAACTCCTTTTTAAAAATCGAATACCATTTATTTATTTAAAAAAAGATTCTCGGTTTTGTCACGAGGTTTTGTCAAACTTGTTTAGTCGTTGAGAAAATGGAATTGACTCGAGAAAATTCAAGAGCGATGAAGTATTATGACTTTCGAAGTGGTTTAACACAAAAACAGTGTGTTGACCGGATGATTTCTGCATTTGGTGATGAAGCCCCATCCAAAACCACAATTTATCGCTGGTTTGCTGAGTTTCAACGTGGACGTGTCAAGCTCAGTGATGATCCCCGTCAAGGTCGTCCAAAAACTGCAGTCACCCAAGAAAACGTTGATGCTGTGCGTAAGCTGATTGAGGAAGATCGACATGTGACATACCGCGAAATTCAGGCAACTTTAGACATTGGCATGAGTCAAATACAAATAATCTTGCATGAACAATTAGGTGTAAAAAAGTTGTTTTCCCGATGGATACCGCATTCGCTCTGTGAAGAGCAAAAAGCGGCTCGCGTTACTTGGTGCGTCAGAACTCTCGAAAGATTCCACGCAGGATCCTCAAATGCTGTATACAACATTGTATCAGGTGACGAATCCTGGATATACGCGTACGAACCCGAAACAAAAAACCAGTCACGAGTTTGGGTGTTCGAAAATGAGTTAAAGCCAACAAAAATTGTTCGTTCACGGAGTGTTGCAAAAAAAATGGTGGCCACGTTTGTCTCCAAAACCGGCCATGTTACGACTATTCCTCTTGAGGGACAAAGAACGGTTAATGCAGAATGGTATGCTAGCATTTGTTTGCCACAGGTCGTTTCTGAACTCCGTAAAGAGAACTGCAACCGCCGCATCATCCTCCATCACGACAATGCGAGTTCTCACACCGCGCACAGAACAAAAGAGTTTTTAGAGCAAGAAAACATAGAATTATTAGACCATCCGCCGTACAGCCCCGACCTAAGCCCTAATGATTTCTATACTTTCCCTAAAATAAAGAATAAATTGCGTGGACAGAGATTTTCATCACCTGAAGAAGCTGTGGACGCCTACAAAACGGCCATTTTGGAGACCCCAACTTCCGAATGGAATGGTTGCTTCAATGATTGGTTCCATCGTATGGAAAAATGTGTCAAATTTCGCGGAGAATACTTCGAAAAGCAATAAATACATTTTTAAATAGTAATGTTGTGTCACTTCGTTAATTCCCGAAATTTTCAGTGCCGCCCTCGTAGAACATGAAGTCTAGAAGTAATAAACAAGCATGCACAAATACTGCTACAAGTTTATATGTATGGTCATTATCCAATAATCGGGTATGTGTATGGTTTTTTAGTTCCCATCTTATCCTTCTGCCCACATATGTCCACTGCTAGACATAGGCATCCCCAAGCCTTGCCACTAAGACCGGTCCTGCACTGCCTGCATGCAGGGGATCCCCGCGATCCTCAATAGGTCGTCGGTCCACTTTGTGTGAGGTTTATTCACGCTGCATCTTTTTTATTTAATTATCTTTTTAATTTACTATTCATAAAGTTACATTGCCAAATTGTGTTAAAGTTTTATACCTGGATGAAATGGAGGGCTTCTCGGCAGAACTTGGCTGGTGGGAATTCCCAATATAAATTAGGATGGGGCGCTTCTATGACCGCGAACTTACTGACCATCGGGCCATAGCAGTGCGCTAAGTACCTGTTGAGGGAAACAACAGTTTAATTAAGGAAACATTTGGGTATAACAGAAATTTTCGGGCATTTTGTGAGCTTGGGATGACCGTTTTTGAAATAGACGAGTTAATTAAAAAAAAAAATAACGTTATTTGCTGGGTATTACGGCATGCTCTTTAAGCGATATTTAAGGGGAGTATTTTATACTCATAGGCAGAGGGATGGATTGTCGAATCTGAGGAACCACGCTATCCAAACGTGCTAGTTAATTGATCATCATCATTAGCGTAGTTGTTTTAAAAAATCCTGCTTTCGGACGATATAGTAGGTCTATGTGAAGATATTTAGTATGAGCTGTTAATCACGTATCTAGGATTATATTACGCATACAATGACTTCATAAAGTCCTTATCTTTAAAAAAACAACTACAAAATGTAATTTGGCGAGACCAAAGCCTATCGTCGGATAAACATTAGTAATCAGGATAGAAATATTTGGAATATGTAAGTTTATCTATACTTATTAATGAATTGTAAATTTATTCTTATTAAAATTACTCATTCCTTTTTGTTTCAATTTCTTGTTTTGATGTCAAACGATAATACGTATTTTAGTTGCGATAACAATAAAAAAAGCACAACCTCTTTCTTTTAAATTTGGTGTTGGAATTGTTTATTTCGTTTCCACAATTCTTTATATTCACTAAAACCTTTGTTATTCGAGTTTCACTACTGATGGGGTATCATACGGTTCGGGCGCCATCATTACTATTTATGTCTGTCCTTTATACGTTCCCATATGAAGGATCGAACAAGGGTGAGTACGTATTCAAGTTGTGATGTCTATTAACAATTTAATAATATGGGGTTTATTATCATCATCTACAGCATTACAAAAGAACACGGAAAGCGATTTACAGTAGTGATGGAACATAGTTTAACATACTCAAACACCTTGCAGCGTAACTCTCGTAAAAATAGCGTTTATTTCCGATTTTCATATATATTGAGGTAACAATTATTCAGCCTGAGCATTTTCTATTAACTAGAGGTCCCGCAGTAGTCGAAATTCGACTATAATTAATTGGAATTGTAAGTTTGTACACTATTATGATTGTATTTTCAACGCCAAGACTACACTATAGAAAAATATTAATAAAGACAAACAATATTTAATCTATTCTCAATTTGACCACATACGTCAAGAGCAAAAGTTTGACAATAAATAAATAGTATGCATGCGTGTGTGTGTCAAATACACGGTAGTGTGTGTAATGTTTTCTTTATCGATTTAATGTATCTTTTATGCATTATTTAAAAAAAATATTAGCATTGTGCACTTTTTCTCTATATTCTCTATGAGTGTGGAAAATTTCATACTCCTCCGTCCGCGCGATTTCCGTAAAAAGGGATACAAAGTTTTTGCTTCACGTATTAATATATAGATATTTTAAAAAAATCAACTGGTAATTTTGTCACCAATTTGACATCGTCATAACGTGACCGCGACATCCGCTCAGTATGTAAGGCCGGAGCCTCAAATGTAAAGGCTATGTTACCCATACTCTCAATAATTTTATCACAAGCGGCAGTATCACTGCTCATAGAAGTTTTCAAAATATTCATAAGGATAAACGTATTTTTCAATAAGCAAATTAATTCGAAATAAATATGGAAATCATATTCTTTTTGAACAGAGTTTATAAGAAAGTTCTTCATTCTCAGCTTAATTTGTTTTTTTTTGTTCATGGCGTGAGGCGACAAGTGGGTATATTTTATATATTTAATGATACTTACAAGGAAGCTTGGTTGAGTGGTAGCAAATCGAAGCTAAAAGTGAATTTTAATTATCTAAACCGGAACATACCAAGTTAGCATCCCTCCAATTCCAAAGCCAATCACAATGGCAGGCTTCTTCGGAGACGCCCCTAAAGCTTCCATCAGATTGGATAGCTCCTCAACAGCCCTCGGTGGTGACAGTTCTCTTCGGCTCCCTCCCTCACTGCCGCCAGTCCCTCGGAGGTCTAAAGTTATTATGTGATAGCCATGATCTGTTAGGGTCTGGACCATGCTCGACCAGTTCGGAGCCCAAAGGTCGGTGGTCTCCGGGGCATCGCAGAGAATAAGGATCATTTGCCCCGATTTAGGGCCTGTTTCTACGTAGTGATATTTTACTCCCTGCGAATTTAAAGGTAATTTGGTTTTTTGAGTAAATTTATTATCGGTACTTACACAGCTAATCTGAGAGAAATGTTTCGGAAAACACAAACATAGGGTCAATGATCGAGATTGCTAGTTAACGTAACAATCTAACAATGCTGTATATAAGGCTTATGTACAAGGTAGGCGCGGAGTCAAGTGACTGGTGTAACCTTAGTAGGAGACGACGGTGTGATCGGCATATGGTACTCCACAACCATCCTTTCAGATCCCCTACCATCGGTATTCCAATAACGTAGGTAAACAGTAGTAATAACAGTAGGTTTACTGGTGGTAGGAACTCTTGTGAGTCCGCACGGGTAGGTACCACCACCCCGCCTACTTCTGCCGTGAAGCAGTCATGCGTTTCGATTTGAAGGGTGGGGCAGCCGTTGTAACTATACTGAGACCTTAGAACTTATATCTCAAGGTGGGTGGCGCACTTACGTTGTAGATGTCTATGGACTCCAGTAACCACTTAACACCGGGTGGGCTGTGAGCTCGTCCACCCATCAAAGTAATAAAAAAAAAGATTCCTATGACGATCGCGTGTAAAGAAACATTTTTTATTTGACACTTTGCTTGCACGCAATTTTAAACAACTTTAATGATGTGGTGGTGAGAGTGTGTTGGCCAACCGTCGGCAAGAGTTCGTGCCCTAGTGGAAAAACGTGTGATGCGACTGTACCGGGATTCCTTTGAAAGAAAAAGCAAGACCTTCCTAGCAGGTTACGTAACGTTACGGACATGAATGAAAGGAGGAATCCATTATCCAAACAAAAGTGCTTGAAGGTCAAGATAAAGGTCACGAACTTCAGCACTGAGGAACACGATCTAAGGAGGAGGGAGCACGTAATCACAAACGACTCCTAGGGAATAAGACCGTGTAATAATAATAAAAACCCACAGAATTTTATAAAGTGGCTTAGTTGATGGTGGTAGATTTTCCCTAGTTCTGCCGCGAAAATACGTAGTAGTACTTCGGTATGAGACGCGAGATGTACATACATAAATAGGACTTTGATCTAACATCTCAAGGAGGGGGCGGCATTGATTTTGTGACGTCTGTGTGTTTAAAAACAAACTTAAGCATAATGTGATTGTAGTAATAAAAAAAGTAAGCAATGCAGATGCACTATTGCGATATACATACTTAATATGATTTCATTTCAAATTCCTCTTAATTACCTGAGCTTTGTAAATTTTGTTTTAAAATTCAATCCAGGTACTTTACCATTTCGAGTTTGAACTGTTTCCTTGTATATGTACTCTAGTAGTGTCAAATCATGATATTTTCTGTATTATAGATTTGGATGGACCAACTAATATGACTGTGGTAACAATAATATAATAATGTAACATTGAAACTGTCTGTTAGATTATAAACAGAAATCAGAAAATAAAGAAATTAATTTCATCAAGCACATCATAATGATATTTAATATGTGAATGTATGTATATTCTGATTAAAAAATCACCAAGATCTGAATTCAATTGGTTTTGATTTCAAATTTTGCATGTAATGAGTATCCAAATATTCAATAACATTTGCCCGTGGGTTTTTTGAACAAAAACAGGCCCTCTGGTGGAAGATCTTCTATTTCAATAAAAAAAATTGAATTGACTTCTTTAATACCCACTAGTAATGCAAGAAGCTTTTTTTGTCCCTACCTATGCTGATAGCCTTGAGAGTTTATTTCAGCTTCTGCTTGACGTGTAGGTGAGCTCACGGGGTTCAAGCCGGAGTGTTGCTAAAACTGGCCCTAGCAAGAGCAGTGCTTCGCAGAATTTACCACTGGATCAGAAACGCGACCCACTAAGAAAATCCAGCAAGAAACTCAGTGGGCTAGTAAGGAGCATTCCTCAATATATAATATGGGTAGGCTTTTTAATATTTGTAAAGGTTTTGGTGACTGCATAATGTTTAAGTTATCTACATCTAATTATTTTATTTCAATTTGTTCATTTGTCTGTGATGCAAGTTATCAAAATAATAGAAGACAGTTTTAAAATAGAAAGTTAATATTTATCATGATAAAATATTTTTGTTCTAATGACTAATTGTCAAAAGTTTTAATATTGTGTTTTAGGAGATAAGTTGGGTAAGTAATTAGATAACATATTTCACATAATAAATTGTATAAGTGAAATAGATTTTATTTGCTTATAATAAGTTGTTTTAGGAAGATTTAATAGTAATAATAATAAAAACTTTATTTTAAATTTAAGTCCTCTCTCTCATGATGCTTACATATTCAGGATACCCATTTATTTCTATCAAAATCTCGTTATTTTTCTTTTTTATTATTTTAAACATCCATGGATTCCAGGTATAGTGATTTACAAAACAAATTATCTATCTACCCTACAAACATCAGACGAGTTTTACTCATTTTCCTTATATTTAAAAAAGTATTGATTTAATTTTTCGAGAAATGGTCACAGATACATTTTAATATAAACAAACTTACCATTATTTTGATATGGCAGTGCGTCCCCACACTAGCGTCCACTGACATCTCAACCGGTGGAAAATTCTTTGACAATTTTCTGCGGTGACCTTTCCATAAGTTTTTGACTAGGATCTTCAAAATTTGCCACATTCCAAGGAACAAACATTTCAGCACTAATTCCACCGCGTCCCAGCCACTAACCACTTGCAAAACATCGTTTTTCGCACTCATATTTCATGAAGTTTATTTTGTTTACATGAATTTACACAATAACCACGTTGAGCCGTTTAATAAGCTCAAAGGTCTACGATATAATGCTATGTACGGCTCGTACAATGCATTCTTATCAATTTTTATCGAACTTCAGAGAGCGTAGTGCACTTAAATAAGTGTTTAATGTAGGTATTATCTATGGCGTAGTGATCGAACTTTAAACTAGGTAGAATAAGGTCTACCTTAGTTCGATGAAGAAAGCGGTTATATTTTGTTATCAAAACAAGACATTGACATCTGACAAGTGTAATACAGGAACATATCGTCGGCTTATTGCAAGAAGTCATTAAGTGACAATTTCAATATTTTGGGAAAACGGCATTTTAGTTGGAATTAGTTAGTGGTTATGTTGATTAGCCCATATTATCCTTCATACATAACTACAGTGAGAAAAACTGAATGTTTTGGATTGCTTAATATGTATATTAATTAAAACAAGTGAGGGTCGGTAATCATATAACATTATATATTATTTATAAACTAAAACTAAAAGTTAATGACTTCTTGCTACTGTAAGTCGGTTTTATATGTGAATTAATTATTTCTTAAATTAAAATAAACCAACAAAATACTTATCAAACCTTATTGAAATAAACAAAAACGAATAATAACATAATAATCAAAAACATTTTTTTCATAACAGTTGACGTAAGAACTTGCAATAGCTAATATTGCCAAGTACTCACGACAACTTCGCAGTCTCAAAAGTTGTACATAATTTTATTTTTATTTTATTGCTTAGATGGGTGTACGAGTTCACAGCTCACCTGGTATTAAGTGGTTACTGGAGCCCATTGACATCTACAATGTAAATGCGCCACCCACCTTGAGATATAAGTTCTAAGGTATCAGTATGGTCACAACGCCTGCCCCACCCTTGAAGCCGAAACGTATTACTGCTTCTCGGCCGAAATAGGCGGGGTTGTGGTACCCACCCGTACGGACTCACTAGAGGTGTTACCACCAGTAATAGGTTGTTCGGAACTTCAATTGCTCCAACATCTTGCTTCCTCGTCCTTGTTTGAAACATTTATTTCGTTGCATTTTGTCAGAAATCATTAACTTCTATAACAGGCGTGGTAATCAACGTATCTCGCCGCAAACTGAGCGAGCGAGGCAGTACTCTTTCGTCCCGCGCAAGCCCACCCTCACCCGCGTTCGTCGGGTTCGTCTTATGCCCCGTGTTCCCTAGACAAGCTGTTTTGTCGCATTTCACCAAACCCTAAATTATAACTCACTAAACTACAACCGAGGAACCACGTAGCCTGCAAGAAGTTACTATGTTCTTTTAATCGATGTTAACTTATTAAAATCATGCCATCAACAAAATGGAAAAAATAATGAAAAAGAATAAATGATTTTATGGAAATCTTAATATTATGATTTATATTATATTAATATCGATAAAAATCATTAAGATTACTTATTGTGCATTTGTGATGAAATGATTCATTACAGAAACTAACTAAATGTAAATAATGAATTTTATCGAAATGCAATTTTAAGCTATATTATACTACACTGTTTTGATAAAATTAATTAGATGCTGAAAATGAGTTCTGTAATGTAATGTATGCTGTTTTTAAATAATTATCCATTTAATAAAAATAACTAGTGCTGCTTAGTGAATCTTTGTAAATGCCTGACTTCCAAAGTTGCAATTATCAATTTTCTACCAAAGACGTAACGGCTAAAATTGGCCAGCTAGAAATTAGTGTGTTTTTGCATTTTGTAGAATATGCAAAAATGAGCCCATTATAGATAAAAACGCATTTAGTGATTTTTTGCAGTTAATGAGTTCTTGCAATAAGCCGACGATATGGCCTCACTTGTAAATTTGTAAAATGAATTTCACGAGTCTTCATAAATTTGACCCAATCGAATATTCAGTTAAACCTCGTAGTGTAAAGAAAAAGGGATGGGTACTAAATTACTTTTGTAATCCAACAGCTGTGTGGAGTACCTACAATAACTTTTTGTAGTCAAGAATTATAGAATTTATCTCAAATTATCTCGAAATCGTACAAAAAATATCTACTAAAAATAGCTGTGACACAAGGGCAGAAAAAAATCAAAACTCGATGCAGTTTTTGCTACGTTTTTACGAAAGTAATATGATGAGTAACATTCACCAACAAAACACCTTCATTAATTTACATACAAGGGTTTGTTTGAAAAACAATATTAAAAATCAATTTGAAACGGATCTACACAAGTTAACTCTCCGTCCCATAAATAAATTCCTTTACTTTTTGGTATCCGTCTAAGGTGCAAATGATCATCTCAACTAAGTTGCGACATTCATTGAAAAGGCAAGTCATCGGTTATAACGATGCGCAAAGGGTAGGTATTCAAACGTAATTGCAGAATATCTGATTGGGCACGCAGAATCACTGTTTATGAAAGGATTAAAATTATTTTGTAAACGTTTGTAGCGCCTATTCTACATTTGGGAGCAATGTTTTTTGTATGAGTCAATCTGTGGAGTCCTTTCGCGATTGTAACATTCATCAATTAGATACACTTACTACAGTGTATAATCTATGCTTACTACACTTATGGCTGCGCATACGTCATTTACGCGCTAAAATGACGTCTGTGGTCTGGTTGTCGTGGTAACAGTTTGAGTTCAGTTTTGTAGTTTTTAAGGCATATCATGACACCGTGACGGCGAGTGGTCACCATTGGTCATGGAAGTCAGAAAATCAGGACACAGCCAAGCTTAAAACTGCTGTCTGCCGTGAAGTACTCTCTTCAATTCTCGTTAATGTTAGATTAAACTGCTGTAACGGGAAAAATGTTGTTATTTAAATAGTTTTAAGGCGCGGGAAATAAAATGGTAGAAACACTAGAGTAATATTTTTTATGTCATCGAATTGTTGTGGTAGGTTTCCTCTGCCTTTCCCATTAGGGATAAATTAATATCATCATTATTGTGGTAGGTAGCTAATATTATTTCCGAAAATACCTATTAGCAGTAGGTTTTCGTATTTTTCAATTAAAAAATTTGGATTTTCTTATTTCGTTTTACAAGTGCTTTTTTTAATCCTATACCTTAAGAGTTACGCTTGCTCTGCTTTTGTACATACTTTTCTCGTTGTGTAGTATATCTAGTATGTATGTATAGAAAAAATAAAATTAATAGAAACTTTTTTCCACCAAAACCAAAAAACTTTCTGAAATATTATACATTAATTTCATATAAGATTTCGAACTTGATAATTCGATTGTAGGTATATTTACAGCAATAGAATTGAATCTCGTACAAATCGCTTATATATGTAGTTGAAGTACGTGACCTGACAATATGTAGCGAGTCGAGAGACAGCCAAATGATCAGTGATCGCTGTCTTCGAGTGGTAGCATAGGTTTGAGGCACATTGAGAATACAAACAATTTTTATTTAATTTTACCGCAAATACCTATAATATTTTACCGCAATACTAATTAAATAAAAAATGCACTCACTTTTGGTTTCTATTTATCTAAGATTCATCCTAGATATATTACGAAGAGTCAGGCATCGTATTAAAATGACATGCATCGATGGAGCGGAAATGATACATACAAATTTGAGTTTACTTTTACGCGATCGAGAACGTTAAAAAACTCGCACTAAGCACACAGAACAAGGATACCTATTTTTACTTGTAAGTTAGTGACGTATATAATAACGTTCAAGGGCATCCTCCATGTTAATAGTAGATTAAGTAGTGTAATTGTTTAGTGTTTATTGTAAGTAGAATTACTTTCATGACATTATAAGTTAGGTTAGTTTTCGCTATTAAATTATTTTATCCTGTAGTTGTTAGGAAAATTGTGTATTTATCACATTTATTTTGATTAGTCGAGCGCACATGGCGTATGTTACAGCCCAGATTTTTTAGTGATTGTTTTTTATGTCCACCTTTTTTTTAGCTTGTAACGTATATTCTTCTCAGTCGTACACTTCTGACGGAGTGGTCGTTGCGGTTTTCGCGAGGCTTTTCCATCTTTCTCTATTTGTGGCGGTGCGTGTACATTCGATAAGAGAACACTTCGTAGATGACTTAATAAAGTTTATACATCTTTTATGTGGTCGGCCGCGAAAGCGTTGACCGTCTACTCTTCCTTGAACCATTAATCGTTCCAATGAGCTTTCATTAACCCACAGACACAGCCCACTGAGTTTCTCGCCGGATCTTCTGAGTGGGTCACGTTTTCGATCCGGTGGTAGATGCTGCGAAGCACGGCTCTTGCTAGGGTTCGTGTTAGCAACGACGTCAGGTTTGAGCCCCGTGAGCTCATCTACTCGCCCGGTTACGCTGAAATGGTCTCTCAAGATCATCAGCTTAGTTAGGAAAAAAATATGAGCTTTCGTTAGGTACGGATGATATGTCCAAACATATTAAGAATTCGCAAATAAACAAAACCGTTAATGTGTGCCGGTGTGCCATAAACCTAAGTCTCCCTCGCGGGTAGTTAGCGGGTATGCGTCGGCACGTCCCGCCGGCCCTCCGATGACACTCGTCATTCCTGATAAAGAGGGGACCAGATTGAATTGAAACTCATTTTATGTACAGATCCTCCCGCATATTATGTATGTAATATAATTCGTACCTAAGCGAATGCGTGTGTACTTTATTTCCTTTTAATAATGCATGAAATATAAAACGCATATTAGGTATTTATCTAAGATATTGTCGTTTGGTATACAGAAAGTTAAAGTCATATGAAAAACGAAATGTAAAAGTAGTGAATTTGAAAATAAAATTGCATAATTTTTAAACAAAATTCATTTCATTTTAGAATTTACTGTCAGCCATTCATAAATTATGTTTTAAATGGCCAGTGTTGTAAAATGACAACTTCATAGATAATACCCTATTACAATTCCAAAAAAACTTTTATAGGTACCTTAAACAAGGAGTTTGCTCTAAATTCATAAATCACTGTTTTTTGCTTTGATGGCTGGATGAGCTACCTTGTGTTGAGTGGTTTGTGGAGCCCATAGACATCAACAACATAAATGGCTCCACCCACCCTGAGACACGAGTTCTAAGATCTTCATTTTTACAGTACAACGGCTGCCCCACCCTCTAAACCGAAACGTATTACTGCTTTACGGCAGAAATAGGCA